TTAGATTCCAAAGGAGCACGACAAACCTGAATCCTGCTCTATTGTCTCCCTGAGCCTACCCTGAGGAGAACCGCAAAGACCTCGGGGACTAGAATGTGCCTCATGTCCCCTAAGCTGCGTGAGAGCTGAGAAGGCCACCTGCAGACCTGAAGTCCACTCTCTCATGATACAGATGGTGAAACTGAACTCTAGAGCAGGGCTGACCTGCCCCAGGTCACACATCCAGGTGGCTTGACTCCCAGGCCAGCCAGAGCTTTTTCCAACACCTGTGTGGTCCAGATGGCAAAGGATAGAGAATGAGATGGATGGGGCAAACCAGCCGGCTGCGAGAGAACATCTCCCGCTGGGGCTACACGGCACCATGACCTGGAGAAGGTCCTGTTTGCGCTCTGCCTAGGCTTCCACTCCGTGACTGTGCTGGGGCCCTCCCTCCTCACAGGCTGAGCCCGCTGGACCCACACCTGCACAGCCCCATGTGCTTCTTTCTCAGCAACCTCTCCCTCATGGACATCTGTGGCACATCCTCCTTTGTGCCTCTCATGCTTGTCAACTTCCTGGAAGCCCAGAGAACCATCTCCTTTCCTGGCTGCGCCCTGCAGATGTAGCTGACCCTGGCGCTGCGCTCCGCGGAGTGCCTGCTCGTGGTTGTGATGGTGTAGGGACCGTTCTGTGGCTATCTGCCAGCCACTGAGGTGACCGAGCTCGTGAGCGGGCAGATGTATGTGCGGATGGCAGTGCTGAGCGGGGGGCAGGCTCTGCTGTCTCACTGCTGCAGGCCACTCTCCCCTGGAGCCTACCCTTCTGTGGTCGCAATATCCTCAACCACTTTTTCTGTGAGGTCTTGGTAGTGCTTAAACTGGCCTGTGGGGACATCTCTCTCAATGTGCTGCTATTAATGGTGGCCACGGCCGTCCTGATGCTGGCCCCACTGCTGCTCACCTGCCTATCCCACATTTCCATCCTTGCTGCCATCCTTAGGGTGCCCTCTGCTGCGGGCCAGCGCAGAGCCTTCTCCACCTGCTCTGCCCACCTCACAGTGGTGGTGGTTTTCTACAGGACTACCTCCTTTATGTACTTCGAGCCCAAGGCCAAGGACCCCTACTCAGATAAGATTATCCCATTGTTCCATGGGCTGATGACACACACGCTCACTGAACCCCATCACCTACAGCCTGAGGAAGGCAGAGGTGAGAACTGCGGCCACAGCTCTGCCAGGGAGAGACCCGCTCTCCGCTCAGTCAGGCAGGACAGGCGAGGCCACTGCTATGGTAACGACCTCAAATTTCAGTGGCTTAAAACCACAAAGGTTGATTTCCCGCTCATGCCGCAGGTCCTTTAGAGGCTGGCTGTGGGGTCTGCTCTGCAGCATCAACTTCATCCCTCTGGGACTCAGGAGAAGCAGTGATGGAACATTGCAGGTCGCCACAACAAAAGGGAAAGTGACAACGCCTGCACTGACCCTTAAAGCTTCCACTTGGAGGCGGGCATGTTACTTACACTTGCAGTTCTTTGGCCAATGCAAGGCACATGGCCACAGCGAGCATGCAGGGGTGGGGAGGCACATTACCACATGTCTGGAAAGAGAGGAGGATTGAGAGGCTTGTGAGCAGCCGCATGACTGCCACACCACCCTACAGTCAACACAAGAGCTACTCGAGCTTTGTCTTTCTCTCTGATCACCCATCCTTCACCGGCAGCTGCCAGCTTAGCCGTCCCAGGAGAGCTCTGGCAGATCCTCGTGGTGGCTTGTACTGGGCCATGCCAACCAGATTGGAACCACGACTCCCAGCATTTCCTTCACTATACGGTTCTGGGTTGGGTTTGACCACAGGAGAAATTTGCATGAGGTCTGGAGGGAGAAGCCAAGCAGCCAGCACTCTCACCGGCTGCTGATCTGCTGGCTCGCCTTGGTGACCCTCCAGGTCCCAGCACATCACCTCCTGCCGCTGTTCTGAGTCCTGTGCCAAGGGCAGCTCCATGGCAAAGAGTGCCAGCTTCTCCTGCAGGTCACCAAGCTCAGTGTCACTGAGACTGAAGGCAGTGGGAGCCAGACACTAGTTAAAGTTGCTCCTCCTGGTGCTAGTTTGCCCTTCCCCTCCCCGACTGCACACCTGACAGCCCAGCTGACCTACAGTGGCTTCAGGCCCAACACCAAATGCACAGGTAACAGCTTTGCACAGTCTTCTCCAACTGCTCCCACCACTGAATAGGCCTGTCTCTGTAACAAACCCCTCATATAACTCGCAGTGGTTCTGCTACTTTGGTCAAACCCTGACTGGTTCAACACTCTTCTGATCAAGAGCCGTTGACGGCTCCCCATTACGACAGCATTAAGTCCAAATTCCTCAGCTGAGACCTCAGGCCCTCCAGCAACTGTGCCCCCACCCCTGCTTCTTCAGCCTGATGTTCACCAACCCCCTCGCACGGACCACCTGCCCCATCACCTTATCTGTGCTGCCTGCGCCTGTGTCTTCGCTCACACTGTTCTCTGTAAGAGCCAGGACTGTTTTCACAGCAGCTGACACCGTCTCCTTCCTACGCCCTTTCCTGTTGCGCCCTGACAGTGTTCTCTTTCCTTCACTTTGTCGGTGCCTTTCACCCGGTTCCCATCCCATCCTGCTTTGCATGCGTGGTATTTCACCACAACGTGAGCTCCCTGAGGGCAGGATTCAAGCAGCTCTGGCTCATCTCTGCAGCTCCCACAGACCTTTCCCTATAGAAGGTTTACTGAATTGCCACTCAGAAGGCCTCACAATGTCCCCATCTGGGGATTCCACCCTGTGCTGCTGAGCACTTGGTGGACAGATACAGCGAGGGAGCAGCAGTGTCCGGGTGCCACAGGCCTGTATTCAAGGAAGGCATGACAAGTCAGGAGATAACCATGGACCCCATTGAGGGAGCCAAGAGGCCAGGGTTCCAGACCTGGTTCAGCTGCTCTGTCCAGACCAGTCTTCTTGCTGGTGTTTTCCCCCCAGGAATCCCACAGGCACCTCAAACTCAAACTGTCCAAAAGTGAACTCATCATTCTGCCCTCCAAAGTTGTGTCACCTTCTCAGGGAATGACACCATCATCCCCAAGTCACTAAGCCAGAAACACGGCAGTCATCACAGACTTTCATCCCTCACCACCCAACACATCCAATCAGTCACTAAGTCCTATAGAATCCACCTCCTAACAGCTTCTCAGTCAGTCCCTCCCTTCCACTGACACTGCCTTAAGAGGCATTTGAGAGAATCTCTCTCTCAAATATCGCAACAGCTGTGTCGCTGTACTTTCCTCCTCCAAACTCTCTCCAAAATCCATCCTCTGCACCAGTCATCAAAACACCAATCAGATCATGCTCCTCCCCCACTTAAATCTTCCACTGGGTCCTCATTTCCCATAGGATAAACACCAGACCCCATATATCCATCTGACCTCATTACTGGCTCCTTGCCTCCACCCCCAGTCCACCAACACACACTCTCCATGCCCAGACACCCTGCACCCAGTTCCTGAATAAATATCAGTCTTTCCTGCCTCTGTGTCTCCCCTTGCTGTTCAAACACTTCGTGACCTTTAGCTAACAATATATTGGACACTCATCACCTACCAGGCTAGGGACTGTGCTGTGTTCTAAGTGCTTCACTGACTGAGGACCAGATGGAATGATGGCGATCTCAGGGGAGGAATGCAGTGTGGACACTGGTGACCAGAGAGAACACTCTCCCCACATCTTGGCATTATAGAAATTCACTCAATCCTCACTCAACCCCTCCCCCTCCTGGAAAGCCCCTTCTGATCCTTCCTAGCTGGGTGGGGTCTGTCCCAGCTCTGTCTGCTTCTTCAGCGTCTTCTGTACTCTGCTGACTCTGTCCTGAATCCCACCTATTTGGGTTCATGAGTCCTAGTGACCTGACTCTATACATCCTAATGTTATGGACTAATATTTCTGATACAGGAACAGACACCTAGCCCACACCTCTTGCTTCTTCTCATCACTCATTTGGCCACATCACTCTCTGCTCAGCGCCCCAAGGAAGAGACATGCTTGCAGAAAGCAGAGAACAAAGGGATGTTTTCCTGGCTTTTGAGCTTCAAAGCATAGACCCTAAAGGGAACAAGGAAGACTTGAGGTATAGACAAAAGATCTGGGATAAAACATGAAAAGCAAAAGCAAACCTTCCCCATCTCCAGATTAACAGAGATTCCCTGAGCTGGGAAGACGGAGAGAGGAGGACGCTGGAGTGAGAACACCAGCACAGAGGCAGGGGCCCCGAGCCCCACTCCCCAGGCCATGTCCCTGGACAGGTTTGTAGGATCTGAAAGGTGGAGCAACTCATGCCTTTGCTGGTGGAGTCAAACCCAGTGCAGGACTCCGGGGTAGAAATGGTCCAGGTCTTTGCAGATGGCAGAGAAGTGGTAGAGAAAGCCTCAGGACAGGAAAAGGCCATGCATATGAGAACAAAAAGCCACTCTGGGATGGCCTGCCTGCACCGCTGACTGGGGACCAGGTGAGATGATGGAAATCTCACACGATGGGTGCAGCGTGGACCCTGGTGATCAGAGAGAACATTCTCCCAACATCTTTGCACTATGTAAGACCCTCAGATCTCAGCTGTGACCCTTGTGGAAAGAGAAGAAATTCTGGGTTGACAAAAGATTATGTTTCTGGCACTCAGGCAAAATGGGGGCTCAAAATAGAAATTAGATTCTTGTGATATTTCTAGCACATCTGAGATTTGTACCTGCTATTCCAATTTCCTGGGACCTCTACTTCCTTTCCTTTTCCTTCCCAGGTCTGTCTCACTGATTGAAATCCTCTCAGCACTCGCACAAACACACACACACACTCACAACTCCCCACCCCGAGCCACTGCAGCCTGCAGCGGTGGGCAAAAGTCTCAGACATTAGCTCTTGTAGCTCATTCTGGCTGGGTTCCCATCACTCCTGCTGACTTCCTCAGAGTCCCTCTTTCCCCTGCTCCCCACACCCTTGGCCCAGGAAAAAGGCAGCACAGAACCAGTAAATACTTCATTGGAGACACACCAGACTCCGCCTGCATCAAGTCAGGATGCCAGCCGTCCCAGACCCATCTGTCCTGCGACCCCCACTCCCAGCACAGCACATCTCTGTCGATGCCTCTGGGAAGGAAGCCTGAGGCCAGGCTTGCTGAGCTGCTGGGAAGATCTGGAGACTCAGTTTCCCCAATATGGACTCCATTTCCTCAGGAACAATGTCATGCTCCTGAGAGGGCTTTGTCTCCCTGGGAAGGGGTCCATGTCTTCAGGAGGGCTCCACATCCCTGGGAAGGGGTCCATACCCCGAGGAGGGACTCCTCGGTCCTGAGGGAGCTCTGTGGCCCTGCACAGGCTCCAGTCCTTAAGAAGACTCCATGGATGTGGGACTTCAGGCCCTTGGGAAGCGTGCCAGGTCCCTGGAAGAGTTCCATGTCCTTAAGAAAGACTCCATGTCCTCAAGAAATGCAACTTGTCTCTTGTCCCTGGAAGGGCTCCAGGCTCCCCAGAAGAATGCAGGAAGGGCTCTCTGCCCCAAGGAAGAGCTCATGTTCCCCAAGGGCCAGGCCCCAAGCCCCACTCAGCTGGCACAGATGCTGCTGACAGCAGCCCCTCCCGGGCCCACAAGACCCAGCTCCTCCTGCTCATTGATGCACAGCTGGTAACCGCAGCCCCGGGCCCGGGCTCCAGATGGGACCCGGTGGTCAGTCTTGGCACGAGGGGGCAGCAAGAAGCCCACACTGCCAGCGATGAGCATGTGCCAAATGCTGTGAATGTAGAAGTAGTTGTCTCGGGTCTCCACGAAAGCATAGAGTAGGATGGCACTGCCGGCAATGAGGCTGCCCGGGCACAGGTAGAAGAGCCAGCGGCGCCACGTGGGTGGGTAGCAGTGCCGGCGGCGGACGCTGCGCACTGTCTGGGGGGCAGAGAGGTGGGGTCAGGCATGCAAGGCCTGGAGCCCAGGCCAGAGCTGGTCACACCAGGCTTCCCCTGAGCCCTGGTCGTGACCTGAAAGCACCTGCCAAGACTGGAGTGGTCACCATGAGCAGCACAGTGATGATGACAGGGTCCAAGGCCATCTTAAATTGGGGACCAAGTACCCAGAGCCTTGCACCCAAGTCCTCTTGGGACTCCCCCCGCCCAGCCCTCCCCACCCTTACCCAGGCTGTAGCCAAGATCCCCAAGGCGAATAGACTGGGTCCAAGCAGGTTCCAGAGTCCATGCCGGTCAAGCTGCAGAGCCATGGACAGCAGCATAGCCCCCAGCAAATACAGCACCTAAAGAAAGAGGACTCCAGGGGCTGGGCGGGAGCCAGGGACAGTACTCCAGGGGCAGGGCGGGAGCCAGGGGACAGCACTCCAGGGGCAGGGCGGGAGCCAGGGGACAGCACTCCAGGGGCAGGGCGGGAGCCAGGGGACAGCACTCCAGGGGCAGGGCGGGAGCCGGGGACAGCACTCCAGGGGCTGGGCAGGAGCCGGGGTCAGCACTCAAGGGGCTGGGCCAGGATGGTGAGAGGCGCTTGGCAGTGCCCCCAGGGAGAGGTCAGGAGTGGATTTCAAGTGGACTTTGGCTATGATTGTCCCCCAGGGCCCACTCTGGACTGACCTGCTTGACCACAGGCTGTAAACGAGCCATGGCAATGACAGTGACCCACACAGACATTAAGGAGCCCAAGAAATCACAGAACTGCAGCACGTCGTAGTCCATGATGCAGAAAACCACAATGCCTGGTTGGTCGCAGGCATGATAGAACTAGAGGAAGAAATGACAGGCATTGAGAGAACTTGGGGCAGAGGTCCAAGTCTATGAAACTGGGGAAAGAGTCCACAAGGGTGGTGTGCTGCTGTCAGGAAAGCAGAATTCAGAGGTCACAGGCTGAGCAGAATTGGGAAATGCCTGACTCCCCACTCGGAGCAGAATATAGTAGGGAGGCTTGGTCAGCCTCATAAGCTGTATATATCTGGCAGCCCTGACCCTCCTCCTCGCATTCCTAATCTTTCTGCTTCTGGAACGTACTGTGGAGAGCACCGGGAGGAAGGGGTGTTTAGGTCTCTCAAGCTGAGGCAAATCCTTCTCTATCTCCTTGTACTCACCGTGGGGCCCATCTATAATCCTCATCCCTGGTCCAAGCCCTGGGGCCAGACCCAGACCCCAAGCTTCCCCTGCATGTCCCGGTCTCCCCCGATAGTGCAGACTCTGAGCTGGGCTTCGTCTTCAGGCCGTACACTAACTGGCCCTCTTCATCCCCTCCCACCCAATGCTATGAAGGGCACAGGGAGACAAAGGTAGTCCCTAAGGCCACGCAGAAGAGCACGGCATTTCACACTCAGGGGAAGAAGATGGGGAAGGGACAGCATCCACCCCTCCTACACACTGTGGGGAACAGAGCAAAGAGCAGGGGATTGAGGAGCTTCAAAGAGGGTGCAGGCGACACAAATGGAACTGGATCAAGCTATGCTGGGCACCCCAATTAAGGAACCAAGGTGTATTGTCAGCCTCCCTGATCTGTGGCCCCAAACCCCGTGTCTCTCTGGACAATGCTACCATGGCACCCTGCCTTCCCTTATTTGTGAAAAGGGTTACCCAGGGATAACCTGAGTTCTCCTTGTCTTGGAACACTTGCTGCGACCATTCTCTTAAACTTGTATGTAGAATTTACGTGCTTTGAGTATTTATTGATGCCAAATACTAAGAATATGTATGGTTTTAAGAATATCTTTGGTATAAAGATGACAGGAACACATATCCCTCTGCATCGTGTGCCTTACGAGTCAACCAAAGAGAAGACACTGTATAGGACCTCTGAGGACAAACAGCGCCAGACCGAGAACAAACATCACGGGGGCATGCTCACTCCTCCCCTCTCCCGACGTCATCAGAGGGAATGGGTTACTATGGTGACGGAAGCAGAGTCAGTAAGAAAATTAAAAAGCTATTATGGGAGAGAAAAGGTTTCTGACCCATATAAACTTGATCAAAATCTACTCATTGAGCTGAGCTGGAGAAATGCCAGCAGATTTTAGGGGATCAAAAAATTTTCTTAAGATTCTGTGAATCAATTTGTTTGCTCTCTGTCCCCTGCATGCCACCCCAGGTCCTCTGGGAGCATGGCTACCGAGGGCATTTCTCGATAGAAGAAACAAGCTGGTGTGATTGCCATGATTGGACCGAAATACACCAGGCTGAAGTGAAGCTGGGGCAGGAAGGATCCTGTGGCACCCAAAGGTGGCCTCTGAAGTGGCTTTCTCATTGACAGAAGGGACCCTTTAGGCATTTCTTTCAGCCCAGGTCAGTTTCCTCATCATTCTATTAAAAGGCAACCCTGAGTCACAGGGCTCTGGGCCCAAAAGAGAGGTGTGCTGACAGACCTTGGTGAGGCAGATAGCCGGACCCTCCAGAGCCATGTCCTGGGTATGGGCAGGGGGCAGGGATACCCAGTCACAGCTGAGGAAAGAGACAGCTGAGCAACACCGCAAGACAGAATCCCACACTGACAGAATCCAGCCCAGACACAGAGTCACCACCAACAGAAAGGGAAACAGACTCAGGCCCCGTCTCTAGAGACAAAGGATGAGCAGGGAGGCACTCACGTTCCTGTTGAACCTGCTGCAGACTTCATCCAGTCTTTAGAATAGCAAAATTGACCATTTCAACAGACAAAGGGAAAAGGGTGAATGACATAAGGGCAGGGAGAAGCTGGGAGTTTACAGAAAGAGAAAAAATGAAAAAGAAAATTTAGGGATATTAACTGGCATTGGGAAACCTTGGGTTTGATTCCTTCAAAATGCAAATTGCAAGTAGTAAACTCGTGTACCTATCTTCTGTCTCTTCCTTCACTTTGGACAGAAAGAACGTTGTCTCTTCAGGAGGAAACTGTGTGGGAATGACCACATTTTAAGTGAGTATCCCAGGCTTCTCAAAGGGCTTATAAACGGGGGGACATGGTTCCCTCTTATATATTATTGAGAAAATGAGTTCTTACTGGGAAACTTTGACTTGTCATGTGGGTCCACATCAGCTTCAGAAGTAATGTTTCAATATGCCTAAAACACTTTTTTTATTTTTCAATTTCTCTTATATGTGCTGATTAATTGAGAGTTAATTTGGTTCTAAAACAAATCAATATTTTGGTCTTTTTTCTATTTTAGCTATGGGACATTGATTATTCTCTACTCCAAGACCAGATCTAAGTACTACAGCTCGGCAAATTACCCACACTGTTTTACGATTAGGACTTTATTTTAAAGCATTAATTTTACATTTCAGGCTTCACCAAGCACTGACTCCACATGCCTGACTCTCAAGTATATAGAAGGAAATGCCCAAACATTTCTGGAAGGAGGACTTGTAACGAATCCTTCCATCTCAGATAGGAGAGGATATGTATCAGCGGAAGAGCACAGCTGAGCCACCTACATTGAAGACACGTCTAAGGGAATATTTACTTGAAGGCAGATTTTCTCCTAGGAATTTCTCTGCACTCAAAAAAGTGGGGAATAATGGAGAGCTTGTCTCTGGAGTGGAGAGGTGTGGGGGAGATCATCTCCCTAGTATTCCATGACTGATTCTTCTCTAAGTGTACAAAAAGGGCCAAGAGATTGTTTTAGGTTGGAGAAAACTCATAGGGTAGAGTAAAATTAAAATTGCAGTGTGTGTTGAACATGATCTGCCTTTCATCTGATCTGGCTACTGTCACTGCTGAACGTCCAGAAGTGCCATCAGTAAAATCCACTGACCACGAGGACGTGGTCACAATTCACCAGGAAAACCAGCCAACCACCTGCGGCAGCTTACTTCACTGAAACCCCTCAGACTGGAGAAGCCAGCGTCTTGTCATCGCATATCCGCCCCTTCTGACTGCACCGCTTCAGCCTGCTTTATTACTCACGAAGAAGAATCCATTACTACTTGCCATGGCACCCTACACATCACCATCTCTAGCCAGGAGACACAATCCACAGTAAATAAAGTGAAGAGAATTGCTCACCACCATAGAATTCACTGGTGTAACCATATTCCACACCTAGAAGCAAACAGCTGAACAGAACACTGGAATGGCCTACTGAAGGCTGAGTTATGATGCCACCTGGGAGACTACCCTGAAAGCCTGCAATATTCTCCTATATATTTGGCACACAGTATGTACTCAGTAAGTTTTAGTCATCTTATACTTATGCCATGTATATTCATAGGAGAATATTCCCACATTAATAAACTTTCCCCCATGCAAAAAAAAAAATATATATATATATATATATATATATATATATATATATACACACACATATAGCAGCAATGTTGTTCCACTGAAAATTGTGGGCTAACTTTTAGATTGGCATTCCTTTTGTCAACAGCAATAAAAAGAAGTGGTAGAAATAACACAGAAAGATTGGAGAATTTAAGAAAAAAATTTAGACTACAAACTGGCTTCTATTAATATAATTCTAATCTGATTTGACACCTTCCTCAGCTTTGGACATTTCTTTACTTACGAGATAATTTTGGAAAATTACCCTAAATTGTTTTTTTCTGTAGAATTTTTAATTCTTATAACAGAACTATATAGTTCATCTAATTCTCCAAAATGGAGTACCCAGGCATGACAGAATGTACAAGTGGAAATGAAAATATATTCAACCCATGCAAAGACTGGAACATTGGTACTCAGGATATAATGGAACTTACTGCTGTTCTCTTATTTTCTGCTTCCATTTCCTCTTGGAAATAGTCACGGGATTTTGCCAAAGGCCACTGAGAATTACTTGTGATGGTGTGAGGAACAGAGAGGTAATGAGAAGGCAGGCTCACAGCCAGGGTGTCAGCAGTCAGCAAGGAAGGCTGCAGGGCCCAGCATGTCAGCTCTGTCTGGGACTTCAGGATCCGATGGTGAGGACCCCAGTAGCACTGAAACGGGTATGCAGCTGAACTGCACGGGTCAGAGCTGCAAAACCGCAATGTTTGATGTATTTGCCCTGATGATTTCTTATATTTTGGTTTGGTTATATTTTCTGATCTTTCTTTTGTGAGGAACATTAGCCCTGAACTAACATCTGTGCCTCTGTTTTTTTTTACGTGGGATGCCTCCACAGCGTGACTGATGAGTGGCGTAGGTCTGTACCAGGATCCGAACCCAAGAACCTGGGCCACCAAAGCAGAGCACGCGGAACTTTAACCACTCAGCCATGGGGCCAGCTCCGTATATTTGCTGACCTTTTAAGTGGCTCTTTTTATCGTTGAAGAATTTGAGACCCACTAAACTGAGGTCAAGAGTTTCTCTATATACTCAGGACTTCTGAGAAACTGAAGTCAGGTTAGAAATGAATCAACGTACTCCCTGCCCCAGCGCAAGACGCTCGGTGGCCGCACGTGAGGATCTGGAGTCCAGCTGGGTGAGAGTTGGCTCTACCGCTCACCTTAGTCCTTGGGCAAAGTGTTCAAACTGCTCTCATCTGCACAAAGGGGTGACGGTGATGGGAGTCCCATCAGTTACAACAGAGCTACTGGGAGAATTCAGTTAGGGGTGTCTGAGCACGTATTTAGTAGACACTATTCTCAGTTATCTGTTTCAGTTCTTAAATGGAGACTGCTGAAAAATGAAATAAGTCTAAACTACTAAGTAAAGAATGGGAAAGAGGGACAAAAGGGAACCTTCCCAGGGAAAACGGATGACCAGCAGCTCTATATCTTGGCCAATAAGGAAACAACAGGAGTCAGAGCAGGACTTTAGGCAACACCTCAGAGCCAGTGTCTTCTCCTTGAGCTTTTGCTTTTCGCCTTATTTAAGAGAGCGTAAGCTCTGAATGTGATGCCAGGCATTTTGAACCCCTGCAGTGTTCCCACTGTCGGGAAGGTCTTTTCTTTTCAGGGTGACATGCCATTGTACCCAGAAAATGAGGGGTCATCCAGGCCTGAACACTCTGGAGCCAATGCCTGGGCTGCTTGTGCGAAGTACAGGAGAATGGCTACGCTCTCCCCACACGCTCCAGGCTCCTGATACACTCAGCTACTCTTACTAACTGTGAATCCCGTTAGATCTACATGCAACCAAGCGTGGGCTGGTGGAACAGCTTTCGCTAGAGGACTTGGTGAGCAACGGTATAAAAGGCATCTGGCAATAAAAAAGAGAAAGAGTGTCTAATATAAAAATAGAATGAAGCACTGTCAGAGTAGGTCTAAAAAAGGGGCCAGCTGAGTAAAATTGGGGTGTGCTCTTCTCACTCAGCTTAAGGGGCCAAAGTCTCCCTTCGCAGTGTGGAGACAGCCTACTCTTCCTCATCTGTGGATGAACATCCAGGAAGACCCTGTGATACGACCTTCAGTTTCAGGACACTTGTGCCCCGCCCCCCACCACTTTCTCCTAAATGATAAATAGGAGTTTTGTAATGTGAACATATGTCTGATCTATGAATGCTGGACAAAAGAGGGACATGTATTGATTTTCATGATATCCTTGTTGCCAGGACATGAGGAAAGTCTCACTCTCTCTAAGATTTTCCAGTGCTGATAGGCAGGCATTGTGTGTCACAAGATGCCAAGTGGCCAGAGATGAGAGGAAAAGATGCCTAGATGCAGCATCTCAGGGATGGAAAAATCTACGTAGGGGTTGAATCACATTAGCAGACTCTCTCCTCCATCTTTCTTTATAATATCTGGGATGCTTGCTTGTAATATGAACTTTTCTGATTATGCAGGAGTGGGAAAACACAGGGAAGGGAGTGTGGAGATTCTGTAATGCGAGGGGAGGGCCTTAAAACTATAACAATCTTCATCAAAATATACTCCTTTGAGCTGTGATTTTTACATCACACTGCCATTTCCCATGACGCCTCAGGACACAGGTGAATACATAAAGTTTCTTTGGATTCTGAGAGTGAGACTATTCCATAAATTACCCAATCACAGAGATCCCCTGTCTTCCAAAAGTTCCCATGAGAAATCAAGGAGGCCATGGCAACTGAAGGGGGAGAAACCTTTTTGTACCATAAGAAAGAACATGCTAAAGACGTAGAAATCCCCAGTACAACGGAAAACACCAGCACAGTACGGTCCTCACATCAGGAGAGAAGGTGATGCAGGTTGGAAGACTCTCCATGTAGAGATGCGGGTGAAAGTGGGCATCTCCTGCCACATGCAGAGGTGAACAGGGTGGAGGTGTAGACACAATTCCACACTGTAGGACAGTTTCTCAGCCAGTGTGTTGAGATAAAGTTCCCTTCAGCTCTTAGATGAACAGGCAGGGCGTGTGACAACTAGAGACCCCACCCTGTCTCTACTGGCTGCTTGTTATCTTAAGTGGCAAACAGCCTTGTTCATTTATCCTGATGTGCCTTATAAAAATTACTATTTTCTACACATGCCATGATGTGAAAAGGTTGGGACACACAGCTGTAGAAGACACAGTGAGGAGGAGACATCCTCATATTACTAAGGTGTGGACACCCCCAAACCTGGGGAAAACAGGGTGGAAATGTACACCCTCACCCACCACCACGGATAAGGACTCGGTGAAGACACTGATGCCACTGCATACCGTGGAGAAGAACATGGTGAAGGTGTAGACAGCAGCTTCCAGCACATATCGGCTCCGAATGGCCAGGACCACAGGCGGCAAAAACATGAGGTTGCTCAGGCAGAGCAGAAGTGTGGACAGCAGCTGGAATCCGTAGGTGAGAGCATCGGCACTGTCGGTGCAGCCCCAGCCCCGCCACCCTGCGGGAGGAGAGGGCACAGGGTGGAAGAGGACAGAAGGCAGCCATGGGTTCAGCAGACAGCTACTCGTGGCCTCTTGCCAACCCCTACACCACCGCCAGCGCAGGGTGGCCTCACCCTGGCTCTGCCCGCCCATTCTCTCTAAACCCGTCCCCAGTTCAGGCTGCCGCCCCTCCCGACCGCCCTGGAACCCAGGAAGCCCAGCCGCTCACCGGCCTTGCACTCGCAGGCCGCGTACAGGTAGTTGTGCGTGCGCAGCAGCTTGCACTGGCCGTAGGGCCCGCAGTCGTCCACGCACGGGGACAGGAAGGTGCGCAGCCGCACCTCGGCCGTCGCGTTCCGGCACCGCACGAACCTGCGCACACACCGCCGTGACCCGGGGCCCGGGCCGCTCCCTCCCCGGCCCGCCCGGCCCCCAGCCGCTCACCGAGGCCCCGCCCCGCACAGCGAGCGGAGGGTCAGGAACCAGGTCCCCGTCTGCGGGAAGGGAATCCGCAGCCTGGCCGCTCTGGAGGTGGCACTGACCGAAAGGAGGAAGCCGGCGAGGGACTCTGAGGGGAGAAGGCAGAAGAGAGCGGTCAGTGAGAGGGAGGAGGGGTCAGGGCCTAAAGAACCCTCGCCCACCTGCTCCGCTTCCCAGACACCCTAGCCCAGCCTTCCTCCATACCATCCTCCACTGCCCCAGCCCCGGCCTTCCAGCCTCCTCTCCTTCCCCCATTCCTCACCCCTACCTTTGGAACAGGTCACGGCTGCATCCCCCAGGCTCAAGGGCACCTCGTGAGTCAGGCATGCAAACACTGTCACGTTTTCCTGGTGCAGGGAGCTCTGGAGAGGGCAGGTATGAAGATGAGGCTGTCACACCCTCTAGGTCCTACCACGACCCCTACTCCTACACCAGTTAACGCCTCCCCAGAAACCCCTCCAGGCCCTCACTGGACAACCCAATCCTGCAGGTGCTCCCCACACTGAAGCCTCTCTCTCTCCTCCCTATTCTTAAAACAAAACTGAGAAACACCACATCTTCCAAAGCAGAGATCTTTGAAAGACTGAAGAGAAGGCAGGGCGGGATCCTGATTCCTTTCTTTGGGCAGAATTGTTTAGATTCTGTCCAGGCAAGAGAGAAGACCCTCTTTTTCAGTCCTGTCTAACCCATTGTGGGCAAGGGGGGTGGGGGCTGGTGCTGGATACAAGGTGACTGCCAGGTTTCCAGTCATCGCCACATCTTCACCTGGCCACTGTTCCTCAGGTGAGATGATCCCAGGTACTGAGCATGGTAACAGAACACCTGAGGAATTAAATGTAGCAACCCAGCCAGGAGGAAAAGAAACTGGATCTCCACAGGAGCAAATGGAAGGGGCGTCTAGAGGAACAAAGGCAACAGGCTGCCATAAGCTCACCTCATTCAAGAAGGACTTGAGGCGGCTTATTAAATACATACAGCAGGATAAAATAAACACGTGAGGGAGATTTCAAAATCAGGGTAGGGAAATAAAGTCTGTCCTAGATGTGGGCTGTGTATTTGATGCTGATTCCAATCAACCAAAGCAAAAAGGAAACAAGAGCTGCCGGGTTTGTGGGTCCATGAAATGAAAGGGTATCAGAGTCTCAGGAGAAACACAGCACCCAAAGGGGCAGTTCTCCTGTAACTCTCGTCAAAGGAGCACTGTGTGCCGGCGTGCATCCCGTCCTCAGCCGCAAGAGCTGAGTTTCAGACACTTGTTCGTAGCCTCCCTCAATGCAAGCCCAGGGCAATATGCCAAAGTATTATTCAGTAAAAGTCATGGGGGGGGGCGGGGCAAAGAAAAACATGTCCTCTAGGTATGCGGTTCTCTAATCCAAATGTCCAGCTCTTGATCCAAAGGAAAAATCAAAATGTTGGAGGGAAAGATCAGAGTAGAGGCACCAGTTGACCTTTCAGAATAAATATAACGGGCTGTCTGAGGAGTGTAGCAGAGGTCACAGCATGCAGATGCGTGGGATGTAAGCAGCCGCCCATGAGAGCAAACAGACAAGAATGCACAGGGCCTGGGTGAGGGGCTGCAGGGGGCTAGGCCTCTAATCTCAGGATCCCGAGAAAAAACAAGTATGGTTGGGGCTCCACAGTTTCAAGGTCAAATCAAGACTTCACTGTCATTGCCCAAAGGCATGGCAGTCAGCAAACACAAAATACACAGTCTTAGTCAGAACAGAGTCAGAGAAAATTTGAGTATGAAGTAAGGAACATCTTCAGGTTGAAGAGTCAGCTCTGTCCTGACCAGCAGGACCACCAGAAAGTTCTGAGCCATGTCCCATAGAAGACCATGTCAAGCCACAAACCAGGTCTCAGGTCAGCTGATAGGAAAATGGTTCCTGTCCCCAGAGCTGGGTGATCATAGAGTTAACAGGGAACAAGACATAAATTATTGGATCAGTGCCAACCTAAGACAGTCACTAATGGCCTGACACAGGGCTCTGCCCTCAGCCCACTCTTACTCAATGCTGAACATAATGACTAAGACATACAGTAGGCTGGCTTTTCCAGTGTGTAAATTACACAAAGCAGAGGAGGCCCAAGGCCCAAACTAGTATTAGGCAATGCCTCAAAGACAGACATAAATTCTTCCATCCAGGATAAAAATCTGACTGCAAAAACATGACATGGGAATTGGCAGCAGTTCACATGAACTGGGCTCAGGGCACAGAAATGTGTATGGCCATTGGTAACAATTAGATAAACACAGCAGTTAATGTGAAAAAGGACAGGGAGGACACATGGCTTTGAGCCTCCCTCTGTTTTCCAAAGCTTTTACATGTGCTCTTATTATTTTTATAACAAAAAAGTGAATGTATACAACAGTTTTGAAGAAAATACAAAAGAAGGAAAGGAAAAAGACCCAGAGATCTTAGTGCACTACAAGGCCTAAGTGACCCCACAGTGTGATGCAGCAGCTGAAAGAGGTAACTTGACGTCAGGCTGCACAAACGCTGCCTGCCACCCTGGTGAGACCACCACAAATCACTTATTTCAGAGACATAATAACCAGAGGAGACGGCAGAGGGTGGGGAGAGGGCTAAGACGCTGAGGTTGTCTGGCTTTGTGCAGGCTGAGGAGCATCTGAAGGGCTGTTGGAACAGCAGCGAGATGTAACAAATGTGCCACCCTAATGAAGATGTGAATAATGGGGGAACTGTATGGGAAAGAGGGGGGATGTGGGACCTCTCTGTACTTTCTGCTCCATTTTTCTATAAGCCTAAAATGGCCCTGAAAAATCAAGTCTATAAAAAAAAAAAGACAGGAATAGATTTACTGGATATAGCTTCTGGGGCAAAACCAACGTCAATGAGTAAAAATCCACAGAGGCAGATTTTGATGGGAAGTCAGGACTGCCTTTAGCAATCAGAGCTGTCTAGATATGGACTGCATGGCCTCAAGAGCTGGTGAACTCCCTGTCACAGGAGATATGCAAGAAAAGTGAATCCCTGCCTTAGAGAGAGGCCGTTAGCAAGTGGGAGTTAGCCTACAAAACTGGGAAAATCCTGGACCACTCTGAGTTGCCCTGGCTGAGTAGCCCATTTGTAGTAGAGTCAATACTCAGGGCAGATTTGTTGACCAGAACTGGGCTGAGACATGGTTCCTAATAATCAAGTTGGCCAAAAGCAACCTGGATAGGCTTCTGGGAGGAGGTAAGGGCCTCCACACCCTGACACGTTCTCCTTCCAGTTCCCCATGGGCGACCTCCCCACTCCCCACAGAGTACCGCATTAAGCTGGAGCTCCAGGCTGAGGACGCCTCCGCTGTCCAGCACTGGCAGCAACCTCAGGGCGAACACGGCAGGCCTCTCAGGGGGCAGGGCCACGCTGGGGCCAAAGAAGATGTAGAAGTGAACGGAGAAGGCATCCAGCTCATTGCGCAGCGTCGGGCGCACTGGCCAGCAGTGCTCGGGCAGAGATGTGGCCCCAGCCCCCTCCACAGTGGCCCCAAGGGATGGCGGCTCTGGGGGCAGTGGCTGGTTGCCCAGGGACTGGGGCATGTTCATGGCAGCTCCGGGGACCAGGGCACGGGACAGGCTGGGCTGCGGGCACTCTGTGGGACAGAGGAAATCAAAGCTGGGGCCTACTACCCTCACAAGCCCCGCAGCCCCACCACAAACCAGATCTGAGCCAGACAGGATTTGTCAAAGGGGAGTGAGGGAGGGATAGAATCAAATGTCCCTTGGGAATATGGGGCACCCAGGGTCACAGGATAAGGTCCAGGGATTTCCTTGTGGTCACAGCTAATGGAGTGTCACATTGGAGGGAATCACGGTCATCTCCCCCTCCCAAGGGCAGTGAAGACGCTGTTGAAACAGATGATGGGCCCTCTCACTGCCTTGCATGGGCTTTTTGGCAAGGACAGTGTCTCAGAGGTCCTAGATATCCCTGCCTACCCTAAGAAACTGAAAGAGTGATTCAATCAAGGAGAGCAACGAGGTCCCTTAGCCCCAGATCAGGTGCAAAAAATGATCTGAAAGGCTTCCAGTGACATGAAGCTTTGAGTGGGCGGGCTTTGGGGAGCACAGAGGAGCTCGGGTGGGGGAGGGGGGACTTAGGGAGATTGTGGGCACATGGCAGGGTGTCCATGAACACAGCCACCATGCCCGCCTCTTCCCAGCCACACACATTGGCACAGGCTGAGAGACTGGGGCAGATGTGGGGCTTCTGACCTTGCAACCGCACACACAGCTGGAAGCGGATGGTCCTGCCAGGGCCCCGGGATGGTGTCTCCACACGCACGTAGACCCAGTGCCCCCAGGGGGGCAGTGCCAGCTCCAGCTGACATATGGAGGCACCGCCACAGGCCATAGAGCTTGAGTTGTGCAGGGGTGGGGCCTTGGGACGTAGGCGCAGTGTCACGGGGCAGGTGGATGCCCCACGGCCCCCCACGCACACCAGCTGTGCTGAAACCCTGTAAGTGAAGCTGGGCACAAAGACCCTGCACAGAGGAGAGGTTGGGGGCAAGAAAAGACAGGGTACAGAGAGGTGAGAGGGACACCAGAATGAATGAAACATTGGGAAGAAGGTGGCATGGAGGGGTAGGGGACACAGGAGAACAGGAGGCCTTTTCAGGTCCTCCCCTCTGTGCTGGAAGAGAGGGAGGCAGGGGTCTGACCCACCCTGGGGGCTCTGGGTGGTCCCACAGTCCAGGCTGGCTGGCTGGAGAGCAGGCAGTTAGGCTGAAAAGCCAAGAGAACCCTGTTCCCTGTTGAAGGCCAGGGAAGGGAGAGGGAAAGGCCAGGGGTGGGGTGCTCGACTTACTTGTACAGGGCTGAGCGGTTGTGGGGAGAGAGGGTTTGCTCTGAGGGACGGCCAGGCACCAGCACGGCGACGTCCAGCAAACGACGGACAATCAGCTGCGGCTGAAGGAGGTACTGACACTCATCCTGGAGACCCTGAGAAAAGCATGAGTGCAGGATGGCCGAGAGCAAGGGAGCTCCTAAAGTGAGGCGAACAGAAGCGAACAGAACCTGCGGAGGGGTCGAGGACAGACCTCCTCTGGCCGCACGCTCCCAGGGCCGTGACTGAGAGCTCTCTGGTTCTGGGTCCTTCCTGCCTGACCTCTACCTCTGTCCCACCTGTCTGCAGGATCTGCTCTGATCCTCAGCATGGGCTGAGGTCTGGGGACTCAAACCTGGGCCCTCCTGGCGATCAGGCCTTGCCTGCCCCTCCTCCAATCTAGCCCCTCCTCCTGAGCATTCCTGGACAGCTCCTCAAGGTAACTTCAATTATCCCATTCCCCCACCAGCCCTCAGGAACTTAGAACACTGGCTTTCTTTTCAACTGGGGTTGGAAAGCTCCTTACGGCCTCCAGCCTAGACCCTCTAACACACCAACCTGAATCTTTAATTTCCTTTATGCCCTACCCTGCCCCTCCCAGGTGTTTGTCCAGCCTCTGCTTTAAAGGCCACTCTTTACCTCCCAGGCAACCTTCAGACTATAAGCAACTTGAGAACAGGAATTCTGTCTTATCTTCGTTTTGTTCCCCCAGACACAGAGCCTACCAGAGTGCACACCTCAGAGATGAATATTTGCTGAACAAATGAATCAACCCAGCTGGGGGCAGCTCTGATCTTTGTGAAGCCAAAGCCGCTCTTCTGCCTCGCTCCCCCACCCCTGGTCTGCCCTCAGAGCACCCACAGATGCATCTGCTCCTCTGCCTTAGGCTGGGTTTCTTCTCTTACTGGAGGAGAGCAGCCACATCTCCCTGAGCTGCTCCTCTGGGTAAGATCCCTAACCCTTGTCTACTCAATCCACCCCACCCCCAGGTGCACACAGCCCCATCACTCTTCAGTGAGCACAATCCTATTTGTTCCAGTTCTTCCTCTGCAGCATTTGCAGCCATCTAAACCCTCCAATCCTAGCAATTCAGGGGAGGCAGCAGCCCCTGACTGGGCTTCTCTGATCTTCTGCACAAACGACCTTTGCTGGCCCAATAAACTAGAGGCCCCTGTTCACGTATGTGATTATCCTGACCAAGACATACCTCTCAACCTTGTTCTAGGACAAAAGTTCCAGGCTCTGACATCCCACTGAGTTCCCTGCCACAGAACAAGGCAGCCCCGGCCCTGACTTCCAGCAAAGCTCCACAAGGCTGGAAGGAGGGCTTGATGGATGTCAGGACGAAGATCTCATTACCCTCTGCCTGGAATTTTTCGGTGCCATTTGCATCATTGCATCCCCAATGCCTAGAATACTAGGTACTAAAAAATAGCTGTTGAGTTAAAGAATGGGTGTCAAAAAGAGGGTCCCTTCAGAGAGCTCCTAAACCCATCTACTTGCTCAAAGACCTCCATCTCCGATATCCAAAGCAGATGTCCCTCATCTTTGATGTCAAAATCTAAGGACCAGTCATGTCATCAACTCCACTTCCTACAGCAGGAATCACCACCACAATAATCTCATGGTAAATGAGCCCAAAGGGTTGGGGCTCATGCTTAGGAGGTGGCCCATTTCCTTGATGGATAGTCCTAGGGGAAGAAACACTTTGCTCCACATTTTGCTTGCTATTGGCTTAACTGAAGGATCAGTAGACAAGACCTCAATGGTTAAGATGTGCTTCCTCCTTAAACTGTATAATGTACACATCCAATGCCCCTCCCTGATTTTGGAAGGGAGCATTCAGTCAGTGAAGACCAGGGAAGATGCAGAGATGCAGCAATCTTCACCCTGGATGGGGCCAGAGAAAGGGCACAAGAAGTCAGGTCCTCAAGAGCTGCCAAGGCAGAAGTCAGGTGAGAGAATCCAGACTGAGTCAACATCAGCAATCATGGAAGGAGCAGGGCCAAGGCAAGGAAACAAGAAACCGGGAGGGCCAAAACTGACAAGTGCAGTGGGCAACAGTCTGGAGGAAGCTGCAGTGGAAGGTCTTAGATTGATTCCTAGACTGTCCTAGTATGTGTGGGCTGGGTCTCTTTAGAACACCCTAAGCTGGGGCCAGCCCCGGACCAAGTGGTTAAGTTCGCGTGCTCTGCTTTGGTGGCCCAGGGTTTCGCCAGTTCGGATCCTGGGCGGGGACATGGCACCGTTCATCAGGCCATGCTGAGGCGGCGTCCCACATAGCACAACCAGAGTAACTCACAACTAGAATATACAACTGTGTGCTGGGGGGCTTTGGGAGAAGAAGAAGAAGAAAAAATTGGCAACAGATGTTAGCTCCGGTGCCAATCTTCAGAAAAAAAAAAAGGCCTGAGCAGGTGGCCAGTGCCAGGCTCTGGCTGGGGCTTGCAGACTACAGATGCCCAAAGACACTTGGCCTTCTCTACGGGAATATCCCAGCACCCTGCACATGCCCTGGCCCACAGTCAGTCAGCACCAAAGAGCCTGAAATAAAGGAGTGCTGCACAGCCTGCAAGGGCACGCGTGGGGCCAAGAGAGGACCCAGGAGGTTGCTGTGCTGGCCCAGGAGAAGGCTGAGGGAAAGTGTACAACGAGCGGAAACAGAGAGAAGGAGATGCTTTAGAAGCAGAGTCAACAAGATCTTTACTTTACGGATTGATTGTAGGGAAAAAGAAGAATCAAGTGTGACTCCTAAATATGGGGCTTGAGTAACTGGTGAATGGCAGTGCCATTTACTGAGAAGAAGACTAGAGAAAGAAGAGGCTTGGACTGGGAGAAGTGAAATGAGAATCGAAGAGACTTTTACTTTGAGCTTTGTTGTGATTTGTACATGCTTAGTTTGAGACATTTCTTAGACATTCAATCGGAGATGTCAAGTAAGCAGTTACACATATACATATATATCTGAATATATAAAAATATAAAGTCTGAAACTCAAAGAAACTAGGACTTGCTGAATACACTCGAGGACACTAACTTATAGGTGGTATTTAAGACTGTTGTGCTAAAATAGACACATAGATCAATAGAACAGAATCGAGAGCCCAGAAATAAACCCACACATCTATGGACAGCTAATTTTCGACAAGGGAGCCAAGAGCATACAATGGAGAAAGGAGAGTCTCTTTAATAAATGGTGTTGGGAAAACTGGATAGTCACATGCAAACGAATGAAAGTAAACCATTATCTTACACCAAGCACAAAACTCAACTCAAAATGGATTAAAGACTAGAATGTAAGACCTGAAACCATGAAACTTCTAGAAGAAAACATAGGCAGCACGCTCTTTGACATCAGTCTTAGCAGCATATTTTCCAGTACCATGTCTGACTGGGCAAGGGAAACAAAAGAAAAAATAAACAAATGGGACTACAGAAAACTAAAAAGCGTCTGCACAGCAAAGGAAATCATTAACAAAATGAAAAGACAACCTAACAACTGGAAGAAGATATTCGCAAACCATATATCGGATAAGGGGTTAATATCCAAAATATACAAAGAACTCATACATCTCAACAACAAAAAAAACAACAAGCATTTAAAAAATGGGCAAAAGATCTGAACACAGATTTCTCCATAGAAGATACACGGATGGCCAAGAGGTACATGAAAACATGTTCAACATCATTAACTATCAGGGAAATACAAATCAAAACTACAATGAGATATCACCTCACTCCAGTCAGAATGGCTATAATTAACAGGACAGGAAACAACAAGTGTTGGAGAGGATGTAGGGAGAAAGGAACCCTCGTACACTGCTGGTGGGAGTGCAAACTGGTACAGCCACTATGGAAAATAGTATGGAGTTTCCTCAGAAAATTAAGAATAGATCTACCATATGATCCAGCTATCCCACTACTGGGTATTTATCCAAAGAACTTGAAAACACAAATGCATAAAGATACATGCACCCCTATGTTCATTGCAGCTCTATTCACAATAACCAAGACTTGGAAGCAACCTAGGTGACCATCAAGGGACAAATAGATCAAGATGTGGTATATATACACAATAGAATACTATTCAGCCATAAGGAACGATGAAATCCGGCCATTTGTGACAACATGGATGGACCTTGAGGGTATTATGCTAAGTGAAATAAGTCAGAGGGAGAAAGTCAAATACCATATGATCTCACTCATAAGTAGAAGATAAAAACAATAACAAACAAACAGATAGAGACAGAGATTGGATTGACGGTTACCAGAGAGGAAGGGGGGAGGGAGGAAGGCAAAAGGGGTGATGAGGCACATGTGTGTGGTGATGGGTTGTAATCAGTCTTTGGGTGGAGAAGGTGATGTAATATACACAGAATTCGAAATACATTATGATGTAAACCTGAAAGTTATATAATGTTATAATCCAATGTTACTGCTAGAAAAAAATAATAAAAATTTTTTAAAATAAATAAAAATTAAAAAATAAAACTATTGTGCTGGAGACACCTAGGAAGGGAATGGGGAAATAAAAAAGTTGTCCCAGGACCGAGTACTGGGACACCACAACATGTATAGATCAAACAGAGAAGCCAGGAAAGGAGACAGACAAGGCATGGGCGGTGGGCAGGAGGAAAACCAGGACAGTTCCGTGAAGTCACAAAGGCCAAGAGGAGAAAGTGTTTCAAAAGGAAAAAGTAATATAAGGAACTAGTTAACAACTAGTTACTAGTTAACTCCGGAGGGGGGAGGTGGGGACCGGAAGGAGAGAAAGGGAAGAGGAAGACTTACTTTTCACTGTCTGCCTTTTGTACCTTTTGAATGTTATACCAGGTGCATATATTACCTATCTGAAACACAAATAAAATAATTTAGAAGGAGGAGGAAGAGCAGAGGAGCACTGTGAGCAGATTTTAACCTCCTCAATTGAGATATTGAGCCACTCTTGGTCCTAGTTGGTGGATTCAACTGAATCCTCTCTTCTGTAAATCTGCTTCTTTGCTTTCCTTATGTTGTTTTCATTATTTTACCTGCTTTCATTTACTTTCAAATCTTGGAGCTAGGAAGAGGAAACATTCGAGGAGAACTGTGCCCCAGACACTTGGAGAACTTTCCCATAATTAGCCATTTGGGTGCCAGATGTCACCCACAATCCAAAGGCCAGCCTCTCAAGGCAGACTGGCAGCAGGTACCACAGGATAAACACAGGAAAGGCGAGGATATGGAGCGCATGGGTCATGCCAGAGAGGTTGACAGGAAGAAGGGGAAAAAGGAAAGATGGAGAAGTGAGATGAGTTCTGGACAACATGAGTTTGAGAAGATGGCAGAGACATAACAAAAATGTGCCATGTACCCAGGCTCTGTGCTGGGGGCTAGGAAGACAGCAGAGACCACCACAGACACAGGGGGCAGCAGAAGTGTGGGCCAGAGGTCAGGAGAGTGGCTTGGACCAGATAAGGCACTTTCCCTTTACAATCTCTTAAGGCTACCACTCTCAGGATAAAGTTCTAGGCCCTTCACGATCTGGCCTCTGCCCAATCCTCCAGCTCCCTCACCCACCCCACCAACCGCCCCACACTGAACCATCTCAGTTCTCCCTTCTAAGCTTTAGCCCATGCTACTCCCACCACCTGGAACGCCTTTCCTTGCCTTCTCAACATCAGGGCTCACTTCCTACCAGTTTCCTAAAACCACCTCTACCACACTACCGAGCTGAGTTAGCCTTCTCTCCTTTGTCTTCTTAAAACATCTCCTGTATCTCATTAATATACATCATATTTATCTGTGTCCCTAGCACCCAACCCAAGGCCAGGGACAAAGCAGGTGCTCAAGGACTAAGGTCTAGAGGGAGGTCTGAACTCACTCCCAAAGCTGAGGAGGGCCCTAGAAACAGCACTGCCTTCTTATCGCGGGACTCTTGCAGTCTCCACGCAAGGATATCCCTCAACCCACATAACTGCGTTGGCCAAGCCTCATAGGAAGCCAGGACCATGGTGTAAGAAAGCAAGTTGAGAAGATAAGAGCCCTGGAGGAATGCTCTGGACAATCCACCTATAGGCTTGAGACAGGGAATTAACTAGAGAGTTTAAGAATCCTTCGAGGCCCATATAAGATTCCAAAAGGTAATCAAATTCTTAGAGGGACCACAGAGATGATCCTTTCCCACCCACCCCCCGCCTCTAGGTTAGGCCTGACTAAAGAGCACATCTCTCATGGTGTCCAGGTCTGCTGCCATTCATGGGCGGGGTGCAACTGGGCCCTCTTCCATCTAGTCTCGCCACACCCCAGGAGCTCTGCTGGGTAGGGTTTCAGTTTGCAATACCCAGTCCCCCAGGCCCCACTTGCTATATCTAGATGCAAATAGGTAATGTCAAGCCTGGTTCTGATCTCTCCTAACCAGGCTTTGGCTTCCATGATCCCAGCCCAGGCCTAGGCCCCAGGTTCCTCCTGCTTACCCAGAAAGGGTTTTAGATAACTAGAGCAGGGCTTCAGAAGGATTTTCCCTGTCAGTTCTCACGAAGAGAGTCAAGGATCAGAGTTAGGATCAGGAACGAACTCTTTGGGATTTGGCCAAACACCTCAGACATTCCTCCAAATAGAATAACTCGTAGTTCTGATGGAAGTCAAGACCTACCTAGAACCCAGAGCCATTTCCAGGCAAGCTCCCAACATGCTCTCCTCCAGAGGACTGCCAGGCCTTGATAGGAAGTTCTCTTGTACATCACTCTCCGTAAAACAGGCCTATCACTGAGGCCTTGAGACAATACCTCAGCCCCAGTTCCCAGCTCTGACAACAGCAGTGTCAGTGCCCTTGTCCCTGTGCGATTCTCGGCTCACTCAAAAGCATCCTTCTCTGAACGCTGGGCTACAGCAGGAAGAAGAGAGGTGAGTCTGACACAGTCACAGAGCCCCTGTCCTCAAGAAACTCAGCCTGGAGAGATACATCCAAGTGAAATCTTCACCTGACTGGGAATTTGTGCCTCTCTCAATCTTCAGTGGCTAAACCCCGCTAGCTTTCATGTTCTTTGGCATTCTGTTCTTTAAATCCTCCCTCTGCTCAAGCTCAGTCCTTCACCCTTCCCACCGGCCCCACAAACATGGCCATCCCACTCTGACAATGGGCAGCTCATTACCCCTCCCTTCCTGCCAATGGACAGGAGTAGGAAACCTACAGATCCTCTCACTACAAGGAGGAAGTCTGGCCCACCCAACTCCTGGGAGCGGCAGGAAAACTCTGAGGCATATCCTTCCACACCAAGCCAGAGTGGAGAAGCACCCTGACCTTTGAACTCACCCTTCAGACCTTAACAATCTCTGCTGTATGAAATCAGTGCTGATATTTGGAGGAAAGGGAGGCAACGGTCAGGATGGACCAACTGCCCCAAGCCTCCTTTGAACAGGAAAGGGCTTCCCTGCCCACAGAGTGGTGTTCTCGGATGGTCTTCCATAGGGTGTAGGGAGCCAAAATTACAATAGAAGAGGAATGTATTCCCCCACGTTGACTAGCGACTGGGCTGCAGCCTCTGAGAGTCTGCAGGGCTATCACCAATCAAGACGTAGAAGAAGGCTAGTCCTGGGTTTGTGCAGCAGCATTTGACCAGTCCCTGGCTGGCTTCTGATCACCTTGATTAACCAGTGCACCTTCCAATAGGAAGGGACACTAAGCCACCGTGCCGGGGCCTCTTACTGATTCCAGACCCTGGACTTGCCCTTCAACTTACCTGGACCCACATGTCCTCCTAAGGCTCCCAAATTACCTCCTTTAGATCACGGCCTCCAGCCCACCAGGCGACCTGCTGGCCTCCAGCTATGCCCCACCCAAGCCCCCCTCATGCTGTTGCCCACCCTGGCACAAGGCTGGTGTGCCAGGTAGCCTGTGGGGGGAATTAAGCAGAGATGGAGAAGCAGCTCTGGCCTCTCCTGCCCTGGGCAGCATCAACCCACCTTGACAGAGATGTGGCCGTGGGCCTGGGGAAGGTGGGCAGCCAAGAACCAGTCCCCAGGTAAGGGGCTGCTGACGTTAAAGATGCCCGAGGTGCGGTTGGGCAGCGTCCAGCTGAGAGTCAGTGAGAAAACCCCAGGCACAGCCGTGTCCCCTGGGAAGTGTGTGTGCAGAGGATTGATGACAGGGGGTGCACCAGACCGGAAATACCTGGGGAACCAGAACAAGGAGAGGAGGAAAGCAGGCAACAGGGTAGGAGATGGGAAATGGGGAAAAGAAAGGAGAACTGTTACTCATCACCAGTAAAACAAGATTTCCTACACTGACACACACAACAAAGTAGTTCCAGGTTAGGGTCAGGACATATGGGGTAAAAGGTCAGCTCAGGCACTCACACAGTCAAACAGTAGTCAGGAAGTAGTCAGGAGACAGAGGTCTTGGCCCTCACTCAGTCATACTTCAATCTGGACAAGGGTCAGGGGTCAGAGTCAGAAGGTCAGTTTAGATACTGAAAGTCACACTTTAGTGTGGAAAGTGGTCTAGGTTGGAAGTAGGGGTCAAGAGTCAGACACTCACACAGTCACACTTTGGTCTGGGCAGTGGTCCCCAAAGGTCCCCCCCTGCTCCTTGAAGATGATGAGGTTCCAAACAGCCAGGAACGTATCCTCAGGAACGTGGAAGTGGAAGAGCTCAGCGCTGGCAAAGGAACGGAAGGGACTCAGCTTGCGGGGTGAGCAGGTGGAGTAGTCGGTCAGGAAGAGGCCTCCTGGGGAGCAGGGTGGGACAGAGGGCATTTCCATTACGCAGCAGGCATGCCAGGCTTCTCACCAGTAGCACCAACTTGACCAGTGCTCTCCTCTGAGCCAGGAACTGGGTCTCCTGCTGTCCTAGCCACCATCTGCTTTAATGCTTACAATGACCTTGGGGAAATAACCTATTGTTACAGATAAGGAAACAGAGGCTCACACCTTGACCAAACTAAGGATTCAAATCTAGATCTGTTTAAACCCAAAACCAGGATGCTTTACATGCCTGTCCCTCACTTAGAAGCCATTGTTTTCCTCTTACCAAGCCTAATAAAACAGAGGTGTGGAGGCCATGCGTACCTCTGTGTGTGTGTGTGTGTGTGTGTTGGTGTGGGCTCTCAGGCCACTGAGCAGGCTGAAACTCCACTGTGGGGCTCAGGAGTCAGCATGGATCTGTGGAACTTCCCTGTTTATTTTCTTCCCCTTTCTGTTCCCCTTGGTCAGGAGCAGTGAAAACCCTCAGAAGCTTCACAAGAGCTGTCTGTATACTGGCTCGGGGCAGGACGGGGAAGGGGAAAGTGTGGTCAGGCTGCAAGGGGCCTGCTGGGTGGCAAAGGCAAGGCCACCACGAGAGCCCCCAGGAGAGGAAGAAAGCCGAGTCATCAGGCCCTCGAGGATTCAAAATGAGAAACCAGAAGGCATTTCCCCAGAGGGAGGCCCAGTGAGGCAGTCAATTGGTGACCGGGTGGAATCTCAAACCACTTGGGAATATTCACATTCAGAGCAGGTGAGGGTGAGGGTGGGGGGGGTCACTAACTGAAATGCCAAAATGCCAAATACCTAATTCTGGTTATTAGGAGCAGAGCCAAAGTGAGCAGGAAGTCTGGTATCAGCAGCTAGCCAGGCAAACCCATGGGAACCAGCTGAAGAGAAGAGAGTCCCAAATGGCAGGCAAAGTTCTGGAGAATCCGACTGCTCTGGAGACTTAAGACCAGCCCAGAGAAGCCCAGAAGGATGCCCCCAGGACAGGTGATAAGGTTTGGAACTCAAGCAACTTCAGGACGGGATGGGATGGGGGGGGGGGGGGTGGTGGTGCACCCTGGAGGGGCGTTTTCAGCCAAGTAGGAAATACCCACAGGGCTTCCCTAGTCTGACAACCTCCCTCTCTGGAAATGGGAGATATAACTTCAAAACTGAGGTATTTGAAACAACAGAGAAAGAGGCATCTGGGAAAAGGAGGCTGCTGAAGGAGGGAACACAGGCTAAGCTTGGCCCCACAGAACTGCAGCAGCCTCAAGAGTGACCCTGCAGAGAGCTGCCCTAAATAGGTAGATGCCACCGGCCCTAGATTGGCCTGTGCTCATCTTCAAATGCCATGGTTACAACCAAGACCTACACCCAGTTCAGGCCACATGCTTGGCCTCAACTGTCAGCAAGGAAGACCTGCCACCTTGCAAGGTGAGCAACTGCCCAGGATCCAGAGAGGCTCCCAGAGCAGCATTCAGAGAGCAGTGGCAATGTATCCAAGAAAGATGAAGGGAAACGAACCAACTGATGGGGAAGACAGGTTTCCTAGGAGCCCTGGCCGTGACAACCGGGAGGCAGAAAGCCAAGAGCTGAGTAGCCTGGATACTATTATTACAAGGAATCAGAGCTCTGGAGCACCCTCTGCTGGGGTTAGAGGCGGGCATCTCCTCCCCAAAGCTGGTACCAAGGATGGGCCACTGGATGGGGCATTGCTGCTGTTAGGAAGGAATGTTGGCCAGGCCTCCAGCGCAGACCCTCAGAGACCTCGTGATGAAAAGCAGCTAACAACCTTTGGGAAACAACGGCTACAGACTAGCACGAAGAGCCCTGTGATTCAAAGGAATATGCTATGGCCTGGAGAACTGGGGAACTAGTTAAGACCCCTCCCCCCTCAAAGTGGCCAGGGGCTACAGAGGTCACAGAATAGGTTGGTGGGAAAAGGGCGCGTACAGCAGCTGGATGTGGTGTGAGGAAGCTAGAAGTTCCAAGGGCAGATGCTTGAGAAAGCATCCACAGCCCCATTCTCTCCAAGCTTTGATTTTGGGTTTTACCAGGGCCTGCAGACCTGAGTCCCAGAGGAAACAGGAGTAAGACCCCAAGCTCAGATGAATCTATCCTAGATGCCCCAGTACTTCCAGATGAAGCAAGGTGATTCTCCACCATCACCTGAAAGACACACACACACACACACACACAACACACACAGAGGCTGAGGCTGGCCCTGCAAGTGATGGTACTAGGTAGAATGAAAGGTCATTTCCTGGAATGGCAAGGCATGCCTGGGTTATGCACCTGCAGTGAGCTGAGCCCAAGGAAATGACCCAAGGATTGGGGTAGGACAAGAGACACAGGAATTACCTTCCATCCCTGAAATGAGATTGAAACCAACAATACGCATTTACTCAGACTGACTGTGCTACGATGGTCCTGTGACACTGCCAGCCTCTCCTTGGGCAAAACCTATCACCATCACTAGGTCATAGAGCACCCCTGCAGGCCAGGCCACAGTCGCCAAGGTGGTGACAATTAACAGCACTAAGGGCAGCCCTGCCTGCAGTCGGGCCTATTCAGTGCTCTTTTCCAACTTCATTACAATTCTCCCCAAAGCACCTGAACCTGCTTCTGGACAGTCATGTTTTAAACCACATCTTTCAGCATTCTACAGCTCTGTGGCTGTCAGGAACCCTTGTCCCCTAGCCAGCTCATGCTTGCTCAATGGGCTCTTGAACAAAGATGCCATGATGGCAGGGATGGAAGCTATGAATTGGGCTTAACAGCATGGACTCCCCCTCACCCAAACTGAAAAACTGACCTGGCTACTACCTCTGCTGAGTACCCAGTTTGCCAGCAGCAGTGATCCACACTAAGCCCCTCCATGGCTCCTTCCTTTAAGGAGTCAAGCTGGGGGAACACGGATTACTCATATATATATATATATATATATATATATATATATATATATATATATATATATATATAGTGGGAGGCACCCCACACTGCCTCCAACCAAGGAACTATCCACTTGGAAGGTGACACTTGAGTGATCTGTCTACAGGAGGAGCAGGAAGAGCTGAAGAGGAACATATGCGGGCCACAACATGAACCCTTCCCTTCACACAATAACACAGGCACTCAAAGGACCCAGAGGCTCACATGCACCCCACACAACACACATGTGCTGACACTCACCAACACACAAGCATGTACACACTGCACACGCCCAGCATTCCCACAGATCCCTCAGGTACACACACAGACACATAAGTGCCCAGGTACCAGTGAGCACACACACAGAGCTTGGACAGCTCTGCAGGACTGGTGACCTTTAGTATGCATTGGTCTCCTCAAGCTTGTACACTGAATCAGGCCCTGAGCTCACTGAGACCCAGCCCCCAACCCCAGCTGCTCTATTCATTGTTATTGCCAAAGATCCCTCAGGCACATCTCCACCCTCTCTGAGTGCCACCGACCAGAGGTGGCTAGGGGTTGGGGCCATGAAGCCCACAGTCATCTCCTTAGGATGGGGACATCTTTATGGCACATCTCCTACAGCCAGGACCCTCTCCTCCCCCCACACTCCACCCATTAAGAAGTTGGACTTCTCCCTCCCCTATCCGAACCACTTCCGCACTGGATGGTGGCCTTAGGCTGACAACTGGCATAGGAGGAACAGTTTGCGGATGAAGCCCCTTGTGGGCAGATAGGGGAGAGGCCAGGGTGTGCTTTGAGCCTTTCCCCACTTGGGTCTGTTTCCCTGTTAGCCATATATTGCAGCAAAAAAACCCGCTAGTATGGGATAGGAACTAGGAAACTGCCATTTACAAGTTGTATGACATTGGGCAAATTGCTTCCCTACTGAGCCTCAATTTCCCCATCTGTAAAAAGGCCTCTGAGTTTTAATGCTGCTCTAAAAGTGTCAGGAATTTTTCCCGGGTAAATAAAGCTTCTTTGGAACAAGATTCACTACAAGAAAAAAACTCATTATAATGATGACTAACCCATGTCCGTCTGCTACATGTTATTTTCAAAACTGCATTCTTCACCCTGCTTTAATGCATGCCCAATATCTCAAAGGTATCACCTAGATCTTCCCACACTGGACTAGAGGCTCTCTAGTGTGGGACTATGTCTCCCCCATCAAACTTCACAAGCAGGAGCAAGACGTCCTTGGAAAAGCAAGAGTCAAAGTGTGATCAGGATGGTCACTAGGAAAGAAAAGCTTGGAGTCTCTGTCCTAGGGACTACTGGCCGCCTGCTGAGCCTCAAACCCACAGTTACTTCTCTTCTGACCCTCCCAACTCCTCTCACTTGTGTCAGACCTTCTCCCTGTTGCTCCCCACTTCTTCCCAGTGATCTAGTTGCCCAGGTCCCACCTCTCCTGAATCCCTCTAACCCGCCCCTCCCTGCCAGAACCCCATCCCTGCCTCAGTCTTTCCTGCTTCTGCACTCACCAGCCCCTGGGCCAAGGACAGAGAAGAGCAAGAGCAGCAACAGGGCTGGCGGCAGCTGGAGCCCAGACCTGACTCGAGGCTGGGAGAGGGGCAGGGTATGAGAGAGAGGGGTGGGTAGTGGGAGAGACTTGGGTAAACACAGAGATGAGGGCAAAGGCTCAGATAATGGGTTGGACTGGGCTGGACACTGGGGCTTAAACAAGGGAAGCGAATGGGATGGAAGAAGGGGCCGTGATGAGGACTGGAGCAAGGGCAGGGGTTGGGCCCGGGACTTAAGCAAACACTGGGAATGGGTTTGAGATACGGGTTGTGCTGGGATTTGTGACAGGAGGTGGAACAAGGCCAGAGGCGGGGATGGGGGCCAGGCCAGGGACTGGGACTGGAGGGGGAGCCTGGGTTGGGACCCGGATCTGGGCATTCGCTGGGACCCAGGCCTGGGCCGGGACCCATTTGGGAAGCGGGGCAAGGGCGGGGCCGGGGGCCAAGGTCTGGATTGGGATAGGACGAGGCGCCGGGACAAGGGCTGGGCCATGGCCCGGGGCGGGGGCGGGGCCGGACAGGCCAGCGCGGGCGCTCGCAGAGCTGACCCGCGGCTCCGCTCCCCACCCCTGCGGGATGGCCTCCGCTCTCTCGCGGGCCCGGGGCCGGGTCGGGCCGCTGGGGCCGGTCTGGGGACCTGGGTAGGAGTTCAGGCCTGGGCGACTCCGGGCTGCGCTGGACCGGCGATAACCAGGCCCCGCGGCGGCGGTCTGGGCCTGACGACGTTGACGCTCCGCCCCTCGACCAGTTCGATTGGTCCCTCTCAGGAAAGCCCGCCTCCTGCCCTATTCTATTGGCCTTAAACTTGGTCCCGCTGGGCTCCGAGGACAGACTCCGCCCCTGCCCAGCTACCCGAGCCCCTGCCTTTCTCACCCCAACCGCGGAGCCCCGACGCCGGGTCAGATCCTCACGGCCCCCACCTACCGCCCCACCGACATCTCACAGAAACCCTACAGAGACTCACACAAACCCAGACACCACGGGCGTCCCCACAGATGTCCCCGAGACTCTCACAGAGATCTTGCAAACCCCTTTACAAGAAGTGAACCTTCTAGGTTCGTCCTGTCTGGGTCTGATGCAGCTCTCTCAGGAGACCTCACCCACCCGGCAGATGACCAGACTGCTGTTGGCACTGAGACTACTGGGCGTTCCGGTTGCCCCGGTGACAGATCCCTCCTCTCCCGGCCCAAGTTCTAGAGGCCTCAGTCAAGCTCCTCCCTCATCGCCCCCGGACCCCCTTGTCCCTCCTCCTCCCAACCTTCCCCAGATCTGGCCAGAGCTCCTTTGCGAATTTCTGCAGATGTCCAGGTCCCCTTCCCAAGTCGTAGACCTGCAGGCAACGCCGCTGACCACACAGCGCCGGCAGCTGGGGCTCAACGTCACCCGGGAGCCTTCCCTCCCTTAGGGCTAACCTGACTTAAGGACTTGTAACAATCAAGCCAAAGCCTAGAGGTACGTCGTTTCTCCAAGGTCCCTCCTCCAAACCCTCATCCCACTCCCCTCCTAACACCTTCTGTCCCTTCCCACCTAAGTCGGATCCCCTCCCATTCTCTACTTTTCAAACTCGCCCCCCCCCCCCCACCCACCCACGTTTCTCCGCCCGGTTCCCTCCTCCCCTTCTTCCCCTTCTCTCCCATCCTCTGGTGCTTCACCCTCAGGTCCCTTTTTCCTCTTTCTGAACGTCTGATCATTTCCTCCCCATCATCCTACCTCTCCCCCTGCTTCCTGTCCCAAGCTTCCCTTTGGAAAGATTCTGATGCCCTTAAGTGATGTATTTAGTATCTCTGGAGCATGGGGGGAAAGTAGGGAGCAGGGAGGGTTAAGGCTGGAATCCTTAGGCAGTGTTGCAAATGATGACAGGCCTTGAATGTCAGAGCCAAGAAGTGTGGACTTAATCCTTAGGCTGAGTCACTGAGTGTTTTTAAGCAAGGGAATGCCACTGTTAAGTTTGCATGCTAAAAAGATCTCAATTGGGTCACTAAGGAGAACTGATTTTGGACATCCGTCCACAATAAATTAGGCACACCTTGCTCCCCACAGCATCCTGGGCTCACCCCAGCACAACACCAACTCTTTTTTATTGTCATTTTGGTTAACCTGTCTCCTTCCCAGATTCTTTCAACTGAGTCCAGTGCTTAGCACAGTGCCTGAGTAAAAGTGGAAGATTAGGCTCTTTTTAAAAGTGTAAGTTACATAAATCAATGAAAGAATGGGTGAGTGGATTAACATGCTGGGGAAGGTGGCAGATGGGCAAAGTTATTACATAATCCAGGTAGGAAAATGATGAGAACTTGAACAAAAATGGAGGGAAAGGAGAGCAGAGAATGGATTTGGGGGATATTTAGAAGATAGGAAATGCAGTCCTTGGTACCTATTTGAAGACGAGGGCTGAGGGGAAAGGAGAAGACTAGGAGAATTCCCAGAGTTCAGTTTTCATGCCCTGTGGGACATCCATTTAGTGATATCCAGCAAGCAGTTGGGTATGAGTGTGAAGTACAAGGATTTAAAGAGGCCTGAGCTGGAAATATGGGCTTAGGAGTCATCAGCATGTAGCTGGAAGCAGTCGAAGCCTTGAACATGAATGACATCAAGGGAGGATGTATGTGGTCCTTAGACAAAACTAGACTGTAGTTGGGGCCCTGCCTAAGGCATGTGGCACCCTCCTGCACTCTTGGGAGCAAACCCCCATTTTGGCTTGGTACTCCAGTCTCTAGACCTCCACATCCTTACCCCCATGGTCCCAAGGTACGCCTAGGACCCTGCTCTTGGACTGGCCAAGTTGCTATGTTCAGCTTCCCTCCTGGGTCATGGTCCTCTGCTACCATCTACTGATGGGATTCTGACTGCTTCAGCTCCTTCACAACCCAGAGCAACGTGCCATGTGGGGTTTGGGCACATGGGTGAACCTCCTGGCACCATATCCTGACCCAGAGCTCATCCTGCTTCCCCTTATCTCAGGTGCACTGAGAACCCTATCCTAATTCCATAACTCCCTGTGAACCCTGACTTGCAGACCCTCCAATCCCCACCTAATGAAAACTCTACCCTATTCTACCACTAGATGGAAGCAGACGAGGTCACAGAAGAGCCTCATACCACCATGGATGCAGAGGAGCACCCCTCTTCAAAGAACCCCCCTGCCAAGGACTCACAGGGGCCCCCTATCCATGAAACCCCTTTGGAGCCTGCCGTCTCTGAGAACTCTTTAAACCACTCTGTCTCTGAGATCTCCTTGGAGACCCTTATCCCTGAGACCCCATTGGAGACTCACATCTCTACGGTCCCAGAGAAAGAGCTTACTTTTCATACCTCATCAGTAGACCATGTCCCTTTGTCTTCCTCTGATGCTCTGAATGAAGACCTCTTCTCTGAGACTTCCTCCAGTGAGGTCTCATGGACAAAGAAGTCCATTCAGACCTCTGAATCTGAGATCCTTCAAAAGGACTCCCTTTCAGGCCCTTCAGCCCAGGTCCACCGAGACATAGCAGAAAAGAGGGAAGAGCAAGGAGAGGATAAGGAAGGGGTGGATGCCACTGCCAGCACCCCTCACACAGCTCAGCCTGCACACCTACTGGGCAAGAAGAAGGGGAAGAAAGGAGTTAGCCGTAATTGTTCCTGCCCTTTTCCACATTCTTATCACTGTCTCTCACCTGCCCCAGGAGGAGGGGATTTGGGTTACTCTTTGACCTTGCCCCTTCTCTTAGTTTTAGGCCTCCTCACTTCCCCTGGGTTATTCAGCCCTCCCTTCCTAGGTTACACAGTCCACCCAGTGGTCCCTGTTAAGGCAGAGTTGGTGGAAGTGGCTAAAGCAATGCAAAGAGAGAAGTTTGGTGCTCAGGTGAATCATCTTTTCCAGTGGGAGAAGAATGCAGCCCTTAATGCCAGGCAGATAGGTGAGCCCAGGTAGCCTTTCAGAGGCCTGCGACAGGCCCATGGTCATCCTCCAATCCAACAGAATCTGGAAACCTACCCATTCAATGGATAGCTGCCCCTTGTGGAAATGGCAATGACACCTGCCTAGAATCTCGAGGAGAGCAGGCAGGTGGGCCAAGGTGGACGGCATGGATGCAAACAGAAATTGGGGATATTCATATAAAGCAAAGGTAGGGACAGGTGACTGAACAAAAATTGTTAAAAACGGAAGGGCCACAGGCCAGCCCCAGATCTGGGGCTCAGATAGCCTGCACCAACAGACCCTAAGGCAGAGATGGCCCAGGACCCTGGACAGTCTTCAGGAAACTTGTTGCTCTGACATGGCACAAGGCCTTGGTCCCCTCCGTGGAACTCCATTAAAAGGCCGTCCCCCGGGGCCAGCCCGGTGGTGCAGTGGTTAAGTTTGCACGTTCCGCAGAGGAAGATGGGCACGGATGTTAGCTCAGGGCCAGTCTTCCTCAGCAAAAATAGGAGGATTGGCAGTAGTTAGCTCAGGCCTGATCTTCCTCAAGGAGAAAAAAGAAAGAGAGAGAGAGAAAAAAAAAGCCTGTCACCCCTGCTGCGGGACCCATGATCACCTGGATACTCAAAAGCTGAGTCTCCTCACCAAAGAGGAGAGTCGTATCTTCTAGCCCTGTTGATTCCCAGTCTTAGCCTGGAATTAGTACCCTTGACAGTCCTGTTAGTGGCATGCTGTGCTTATCTGTGTCTATATATAAAGGGTGTGCAGATGTCCTGTGTGAAAACACCCCCTCCTGTGTGTGAGCACGTGTACCTGTGTCACTGAACTTTATATCTATAGAGACGACCTTCAGTAAGAGGGCCACTCTGACCTGCTATGAGGATTCTCGGGTTTCTAGACTGAATTCAGTAGATGTCTCTGTGTTTATTTTGGTCTTTCTTACTTTCTTTCCCCTTATGATGGGAGTGGAGTTATGTAGAAACTAGCTTGGTCTAAAGACAACCAGGTAATTCTATGTCCTATCCCTCCTCCACGGAATTTGCTTTCCTCATTCCCATGCAGGGACCCGCCCCCTCCCCTCTGGCCAAGAAAGTCCCAGCGATCTCATTTGCTTCTCAGTCTCAGTCCAGGCATGGAGACAGCTTTGTTGGCTTATTTTAATATCTCCTGGCGCTCTGGTTCTTCTTGCAAATGCAGTGTCTGTTCAGTCCCCTCATTCTCCTTCTGAGAACTTCCTGTCTGCTCCCCACTCTTCAAGGCCACTGCAATTCTTCAGACTGAACTTCTTCATTTTCCTGTTTAAACAGGCATTTCTATACAGAAATTTGTGTCATTCAAGCCTGAACAAAGATATTTGGGGTTCCCTTCTAATATTGGGGACCTTGAGTCGCTGGAGAGTCAGTATATGTGCTGTGTAGAGAAATATCCAGTGTGAACTTTTCTTTCATCGTTCAACATTTATTGAGCACCAAGTATGTGCCAGGCACTGAGCTAGCTGTTGAGATGGCAGTGCGTGCTGGTGGGGTGTCAAAGACAAAATCCCTCAAATAATTTGCACTCTATGAGAGACATCAAGAAGTGAAAGGACAACTCTAATCCATTCTAATGATTGCTATGGTTGAGGTCAGCCCAGGGTGCTGCATGAGCAGAGAGAAGGGGCATCCAGTCGTGGGGGCTCGAGGAACAAGCCTTGGAAGGGATGGCTTCCCAGCTGAAATCTGTAAGCTAAGGAAGAAGAGCAGCCAGGTAAAAAGTGGTGAGGTGAGACAGGACAGGGCCAGGCACCGGGAGGGAATGGTGAGCAACGCAGTATGCCTGCTGCAGAGCATGGGCAGAGCAGCCCGGTTCAGCTCTGGAAGGGCAGAATCGCTCAGGCATTTCGCTGCCAAGCTCAAAAGTTGGGATTATATCCTGAGGGCAACAGAGAGTCACTAGGAGATTTTAAATGACATGAACAGTTTTGTGTTTTTGAAAGATCACTCTGGCGGTAGGGTAGACTGGAGACAGGAAGACGACACTATGGGGCACTGGTAATAATCCAGATGAGAAGTGGGCGGATGAAGGCGGAGAGAAGTAGACAGATTCAAGTAATGCTAAGAAGGTAAACTGAGCTTTTCATCATTGGATGTGTAGGATAAGAGAGAGGGACATGCCTGGAATGACATCTAGGTTTTTGGCTTAAGTAACTGATTGGATGATGATGCCCTTAACTAAATGCCTAAAACAGAGTAGATGCTTGAACAGAGGACAAAGGATGAGGGCCAGGTTTGGAATGATTGGATATAACACATCTGAAGTGCTCATGGAACATGCTGGTGAAAGAGTCTAGTAGACAGCTGGCTATATGCGTCTGAGGCTCAGGAGAGAGGTCTGGGCTAGAGACATCATGTAAAGACAGCTGTATGTTGTATGGTGACAGTCTAAGCATAAAGAGATGTTATCATGCAAATGTGATTATGTGAACGTGGAATGGACTGTGTTGCACAGGGTCAAAATGGCGTCCCAGATAATGTCTCCTCCCCCTGCCAGTCATTGTCCACTCATAACAGGAAGAAGATTTGGAATCAGGGAAGAGAGTGGAGGGCCCGACTCTGGAATACAGCCAGATGTCAAGTGTCCCACTTTAAGGGCCCTGACACCTGTACTAGAGTCTGAGGTGTAGTTGCCAGTCTCCCTGTACAAAGTCCAGTCATCTTCATCTGAAAGCTGGGCACTGACTCCCACATCATTGCGTGGACTGGACTCTCCCAGGTTCTCAGGCTGGGCCTTGATCTATGGGCACGGACCCTCATTCACCTCCACACCTCACCTGATCATCTAGTGTATCCTACTACTCTGGACAGAGTTCAGAATTCCTTTAGTGGAATCCTGGCCCCCACCCACCCCATTGTGACTCTGCCTACCCTGCACTTTCAACTAAGCCTCCCTGGTGTAATGGGGAACTGGCACTACAGGCTGCCAGTATCAAGACAGAAACTGCAAAGCCAAAAGCCACATCTGGACAGGGTTTAGACCCTGAGGGACCATGGGTAAGACAAGAAAACTTAGTCTGACAAGTAGGCACAGAATTGTGGATTGTGGCCTTGGCCAGAGTCAAAGAACAGAGGACCCTTAACTCTTTCTCATCCTCCTTATGGAACTTCAGGGTTATGCCTGGAATAGTGGGTCTCTTTTCCTTCCTGAAGGAATTTGCTCATTCACTTATTCAGTCAAGCAGTCTGTGTTCTCTGGGCACCTATTTTGTGCCAGGCCCTGTGCTGGGACTAGAGATATAAATGAAAAGGCAGGAATGCAAGTTATCAGTCCATTATAATGCATTGTACTGTGATAAGAATAGCACACAGTGCCATGGAAGGAAAGAGGAGGGGCCCCTAGACAGACAGGGGAAGTCAGTGACAACTTTTTGGTGGAGGTGACGCTTCACTGCAGCCTTTAAATGGGAATGAGAGTCCTACAGCTGAAGGTCCCACTCCAGAGGGACTCATACAGGACTCTTGGCTAGAAGTAGGGGTACTCTCAGCTCTCATGGAGGATGAGAAAATCTGAGTGGGAAGTGCTCTCTGGTTCTCCTCCCACATTTACACCTACTCCTTTCTCCTGAGCCTTGGAGAGCCAAGGGCAGCCCTTCTCAAGTTCATAGAGGGCATTAGTTCAATCACACCGGGAACATGGAAGAGAAGTCTGGTGTCAACCTGGAGAAGGGCTGCTCCTGGCCCAAGCGCTGCCCAGCCTCCTCCTCCTCTTCAGGTCTCTTCAACAACCTTGCTCCTTAGGAGCCAATCCCCACCATCTACTCTACACCTGGCCAATCATCTTCCCTTTCCCTCACCTCAGACACTTCAAGGAAACAAAGTTGAGTTTTGTTTGTGGGGAGGAGATGAGAATCCCCACAGTCACAGAAAACTCAGTGAGATTCATGTTCATCTCCACACAAAATTTCATTACTAATCTTCCTGTTCAGAAATTGGAGACTGTCTTCAGTCATCTCTGACAGGCGGACAGAGACGGAGTGGATCCTAGGGCGGGAAGGGGACTGAAAACACTTGTGGGACAATGAGAAAACCTTGAGGAACAGAATCTAAAGGGGTAGGGATGAGGACTTGTGGGTGGAGAGGAATACACCTGGAGGGAGAGGTGAGCCCCGCACCCCCACCCCAAGGAGATAGGTGAGAACACCTGGGAGAGCTTAGGCTATTTTTCCTTCTCACTTTTCCTAACTACACCATCCCTCCACACCCAGGCCTCTACATTGGCTGGCGCTGCCCCCACTATCTATGGGATTGTTTCCGGATTGGGGATGAGTCCAAGTGCTTTTGTGGACACTTGTTGAGAGAGCACCAGATAGTCTCAGGTAGGGAACTGACCAGCCCGGGTGGGTGGGGAGGGATAAGTGCACTCTGTCATGTGTCAGGATGGATGAGAGAAAGGCGGGGGGGGGGGGGGGGGGGGGGGTGGTGTATGTGGGAAGGGCTGGCATGGGAAGGCCAGACCCTATCAGGTCCTGGTGTAATCCTACCAACCATCCACATTCCCGTAGACATATCCGTGCCCTGCAATGTGGGTCAGTGCCGCTGCCTCATGTTCTGCTTTATTCCATCACGCCCGGAGGAGGTGGGTGAGTTCTGGCTCAAAAGACGGGCCACCTTTGACCCCAAGGCCTGGAGAGCCCAATGTCGCTGTAAACACAGCCACGAAGACCACTCAGCTATCGGGTCCCATCCCTGCAGGGTCAAAGGTACCTTCTAGAGCAAGGGGAGTACAGGGGTGGGCAGGGGTGGGGATAGGATTCAAATAGTTTGGGGGCAAGGATGGGGGAGCTGGGAGGAGGGATGGGTTTGTGGTTGGTGAGCAAGAGATGAGAATATAGTCAGCCCATGGGTGAGCCCAAATTCTCTATACTTTTCTTGGCTGCCCCCTTGCCCTAGGCTGTTGCTGCAACTGCTTCGAGTCTAATTTCCTCTGCGCGGCCTGTGACCGGCGCTGGGAGGAACATGAGACTTTCTTTGAGACTGAGGGGACCCGGCGACGAGGAAGGAAGCCTCACGGTGAGGGGTAGCCTGGAACAGGGGGCCACTCCAGGGTCTGTAGTCAGAAGGCCAGGCAAGAAGGCACTCCCTCCCTCAACCAGCCCCTCCTGGACTACCTCACTCCCTCACCGTCCGCATCCCACACCTGCGCTGGTTTCCGCCCCCAGGAGGAGACTAAGTGCCTTTTGCAGAGATGCCTGCCCTCCAAGAAGCCATCATCAGCAACTCTAACTTTGAGACCCTACAGAAGCAGGAGCCCTCTGGCCATCCCAGCTCCCACCCTACTCCCCCTGGGCTCCCTGGCCCACACAGCCTCAGGCCTGGCCCTACATCTGACCCCTGTACCTGACCCTTTCACCTCTACTCTTCCCTCCTCCAGGGACAAATACGGTCAACACCTGGCGCAGGCCTCTGTGAGCCTGGCCCAGATGAGCAATAAAAGGGGAAGCCGCTGGAATCTGACCTGGCTCTGTATGGGGCAGATAGGGCCCAGCCCAGGGACCTTAGAGTCAGCACCTATTGGGGGCGAACAAGAGTACCAGGCACGAGAAAGTCTGGATCCAGCCATCTGCCTCCACTACACCTACATTTAGGCTCCAGCTCTGGCATCAGAAGGAGAGAGGGGCTTCAAGGAAGCCAAGGAGAGAGGGGGTTTCAAGAAGGATAGAGTAAGCAGTGATGTTAGATGCAGCTGGGGGCTCCAGTAAGATAAAGACTGAAGCGTCCGTTGGATTTTGCAGTTAGAAGTCTTTGGGGACATCAGAGAGTGTACTTTCAGTGGTGCAGTGGAGGCAGAAACCAAACAGCAGTAAATTTGAAGGAGTTTCTTTAAGATGCAGGAGAGAGAAGTCAGACAATTTCCTGAGGGAGACGTGGAAGTATTTTTTAGGAAGGAAAAAGGGAAGGGGCCAGTAGATAAAAATACCTTAAAGGATGCAGAAGAGAAAGAGAGATGCCTGGTGAGACAAGATCCCAGAGACGGAGGGGGGAGATGAGATCCAGGCAGAGGTGAAGGGATTTGCTCTGGACAGGAGAAACACCACTTCCTAAGACCAAGAGGAAGGAAGGAAGAAAGGATGGGGCTATGGGACTACATCAAACTAAAAAGCTTCTGCACAGCAAAGGAAACCATCAACAAAACGAAAAGACAACCTGACAATTGGGAGAAGATATTTGCAAACCATATATCAGATAAGGGGTTAATATCCAAAATATACAAAAAACTCATACATCTCAACAAAAAAAAAAAAACAATAACCCAATTAAAAAATGAGCAAAAGATCTGAACAGAGATTTCTCCAAAGAAGATATACAGATGGCCAACAGGCATATGAAAAGATGTTCAACATCATTAGCTATTAAGGGAATGCAAATCAAAACTACAATGAGGTATCACCTCACTCCAGTCAGAATGGCTATAATTAACAAGACAGGAAACAACAAACGGTGGAGAGGATGTGGAGAGAAGGGAACTCTCATACACTGCTGGTGGGAGTGCAAACTGGTGCAGCCACTGTGGAAAGCAGTATGGCATATCCTCAGAAAATTAATAATACCATATGATCCAGCTATTCCACTGCTGGGTATTTATCCAAAGACCTTGAAAACGCAAAGGCATAAAGATACCTGCACCCCTATGTTTATGCAGCATTATACACAATAGCCAAGACTTGGAAAGGATGGGGCCTTTACTGAGCTGCAGACAGCAGGATCTTGTGGAAGTTCCCCTGTGAAGTAGGAGACGAGGTCAGTTGCTGGTGAGGGAGGAAAGGAATAAGAGTGGGGAGTAAGAGACGGGAAGAAAGTGGTGACGGTTTGGGAAGGCTAATGTGGGGAACTGGAAAAAAATCTGATCAGTAGGTAGTGAAGGATTTAGGTACAGGTGCAAAGCGGGAACTCAGAGAAGCAAAGAAGCAAAATATTTAGCTTAATCAGTGGTGATGGGAGGGTATCGGGGAGGATGATCAGGGAAATAAGGCCAAAGAAGGCAGCTTGAGGATGCGGAGGGAAAGAAAGTGAAGCCAGGAAGCAACTGACAGATTGAAAAAAGGAGCAGTCAAAGTAACAGAAAGCAGCACAGTGTAGGGGTGAGAGCTGAAGTGCAGGAGACAGTGGTCAGAACCTGCAGGGCGTCGCAGCTTTCAGATGAGAGCAGCTGAAAGTGACCACAAGGGCTTGGAGTAGAGAAGACTGTGGGCCGGGGCCAACATCAGTGAATGTAGGGGAGTGACTAGGAAGCCCATAGGTGATTCTTATGGGGAGTTGGAGATCCTGACACTAATGGGCTCTGTGATTCTAGGCAAGTCACTTTCCCTCTCTGGGCCTCAGTTTCCAGATCTGTAAAATAGGAATAATCTCTTCGCTACCTGCTCTTTATGAGAACCCATAGAAATAACCAGCTTCAAAGTGCTTTGTACTCACCTACTCCTCCTGGCTAGTTTCCTTCCTCTTTCTAGATCCCAGCTCCTCTCTTGCCTTTCTCCAGAGCAGCTCTAGGGGCTGCTGCTGCCCCAGAGGCACTGCAGGGAACTGCAGCCTCTGGGGCACAGAGAAAAGGCCAGTCTACATTTCCTCACATTTGAGGAGGCCGCCTATCCTTCCAAGGAAAGGAATACAACCTAGACTGCTGGAACTCCTGGGGGAAATTACAGGGTCAATGTCTGCCCTTTGGAGGAGAAAGGACTCTTTAACAATAATATGACTATACAAAAGAATCGGTATTCTCTCAAGAAGCGGAGTTCCTCCTTCCTGGTTATATGCAATTAGCGCACTAAAACTAACTCAACTAATAGTCAACAACAGAGGAATGATTACTATGATAAACTCATTCAAGGAAGTATTACACAGCCATTACAAAGTATATTTACATAGATTAATAATATGGAAAATTGATTGTAAGTGGCTGAATAAGAATATGCAATACATATGTATTATATATTGTGAAAGGAAATGAAACACCAAACGTCATTCATTTATTGAGCGCCTATATGTGTCAGGCCATGTGCTAAAAAAAAAAAAGCCTAAAGATACAATGGTGACTTTTGTCCTGTGTGTTAAACTTCAGACTAAAACTTACCTGGTGTGAGTATGTTAGCATTTTATGACCCCATGTTTCATCTGTCAAAAATATATATATTCCAGCAGAACGAAATAAACTTGTGACAGAGCCACGACGCACTTCCCTTGTCCTTCAAACCCAGATTCCTGCAAATGCCAGGCACAGAGCTAACCGTATCACACACCTTTTCTGATTAGGAAAGGACGCTTGGACACATTCTCCTTTGCTTATTAGTCGTGGGGCAGAGATAGGATACTCCTGCGCCCTCTCATTAAAAAAAAAAAAAAAAAAAAAAAAAAATGCAAAAAACGCCCTAAAAACGAACTGCAGAACCTTTCCTCTTGGATTGAATATGTTAACAAGAACATAAACGAAGTAGGAACTGCCCTTAGATGAGTAAGTTAAAATCTCTGAAACGCTCAAGGGGCTGAAACTGCCCGTGTGGGGAAGACGCTGGGTATCTATCCCACCGGTTAAAAAAGACGCCCTCCCAGTTCACCTTCAGCGCGCGCGCCCCGCGTCCCCACCGCCCGTTTCCTCCGGGACCCAAGGCCTCGAGTCCAGGGCTCCGGTGGCCCCCGGGCCAGTCAGCGCCGAGGGCCCCAGAACCGCGCCTGCTCCCGGCCAAGGCGCGGGAAGGGCCTCCGGAACCCGGGCCCCGGGCCGCGGGGCAGCCGGCGCCGCGAGCTCGGCGACAGCAGGAGGGAGCGCGGCCCTTGGGCCTCTGCGTCCTCCCGGGACAGCGAGCAACGACCTCGGGGCGACACCGGCTCTGGGCTCCAGCGGGAAAAGGGCCCCGCCGGCCGGAGCCGAAGCCAGCGAGCGCGCAGCGGCCCCGCGTGGCCGGCGGCAGCCTAGGGTACGACCGGGCCGCGCCGGGCTCGGGGGCGCGCGGGCCGAGAGCCACCCAGCGGGGCGGAGCCAGTGGCCGGCCCACCCGCGGCTGAGGGAAGATGGCGGCCGCGGCGGTGCTGGCCGCCGGGCTGCGCGGGGCGCGCAGGGTCGTGGCGGCCGCGGGGCCGCGGGGGGCGCAGGTGAGCAGCGCCGCGGGCGAGGAGGGTCCCGCGGGCTCGGAGCCCTGCGGGCGGGCGCCGCGTTCCCCCGGCTCCCGGGCGGGGACGCTGGCCTTCCCGAGGCGCGAGCTCCGGGCTCACGGGGCGGCGGGCCGGCGTCGTGGCGGCGCCTCCGAAGCCGTGCTGCGCGGGCAGCGAACCGGCGGGCAGGGCTGCGCGGCCCTCGGGGTGCCGGGAGCTGTCTCCCCTCGGCGCCCGGCGCGCCGCCCTCGGGCCCCTGGCCTTCCGCCGAGCGCTCGTGTTCGCCCCTCACCTTCCCCACCTGCCAGAGCGACTCGAGGGGTCGTCTCGTCCTTTTCTCCCACAGTGTCGCAGCCCTGAGTCCAGGCTTCCCTGAGCCCCTGGGAACCCGGGACGTCCCTGCCCTCAGTCCCCCGGGGCCGGGCTTGCCGAGTTCACTTAACTGAACTCTAACCTCCGCCGATCCTCGGGACTGCAGTTAAAATTCATAGGAAGAAGTCAAGTGCGACACCCAGACGCCCTCGTGTCAAACAGGGCAATGGTATTAAAACCTGAATAAAACAAGTAACCCAGCTTAAAGATCAGAAAACAAGGGAAATACGTGGAAACTTTTAACAAGGTGAGAGTAAATGGAAAGAGCTCCAAGTGGTCTTAAGAGATGGTGCAGATCACCCCCTTATTTTACATTTGAAGCCGAGAGAAGGGATTTATGTAGGCTGTTTCAGTGGTAAAATAGGAACTGGGACTTAAGTCTCCAGGTTCTCGTTCTGGATCCTTTCCCCCGAGCAGATTTTTATTTCACCTGCGATCCCTGACAGTATATGGGAGCGCTGTTGCCGACTCCCTCCCTGGGGTGTGTCTGGCCCACCTTCAGGTCCGAGGGGCTGCAGGCGTGACTGATGGGAACGAAGTGGCCAAGGCTCAGCAGGCAGCTCCCGGGGGAGCAGCCCCCACCATCTTCTCTCGGATCCTGGATGGAAGCCTCCCAGCTGACATTCTGTATGAGGACCAGCAGGTGGGCTGCCCTTAGGAGCCATCCTCTTAGGAATTTCCTAGATCCCATCCAGCCTGTTGAAGTAACATGGTGGCCTCTGGCCTGTCACTGCTCCCAGTGTCTCGTATTCCGTGACGTGGCCCCTCAGGCTCCTGTGCACTTCCTGGTCATTCCTAAGAAGCCCATTCCTCGGATTAGCCAGGCTGAAGAAGGAGACCAGCAGGTGGGAAGAACAGGGCAAGGGTTTGGCTGGGGGGAGCCCTAGACTCAGCTAGAGGTTTTGCTCCCTGTGAAGGAAGCCATCTGTCTCTCTCCCCTTTCCCTGTAGCTTCTAGGACACCTTCTCCTTGTGGCCAAGGAGACAGCAAAGGCTGAGGGGCTGGGAGATGGATACCGACTTGGTGAGTGACTTCTGGCCCTTGAGCCCCTCACCTGTAAATTCTCATACCTACCCCTCGATATGATCTTCATTCTTTGACCTTTCCCGTGGTCCTGAGCCCCTAACCCCAAGCTCCATTTCAGTGATCAACGATGGGAAGCTGGGTGCACAGTCTGTCTATCACCTGCACATTCACGTGCTTGGGGGCCGACAGCTCCAGTGGCCTCCAGGTTGAAGCTACCAACTGACAAAGGACCACAGACCCGGATGCATGGATGGGATGGGAAAAAAGGTATCTTATGATGCTAATAAACTTGCTCTCTCTCAATTTTGGATCCCTGTCTTAAATATATAAAGACTTATACCAGAAATAGGAAAGAAACTGATTCAAGGCTATGATCCTCCTTGACTATGGTCTGAGTTAGACACTAAGGAGGCCCACCCTGTAGTACAGGCAAAGGCGCATTCGCCTACAGATCTGTGAGTCCTCATAACTAGTGGTCCACCTGGAACAAGCTTCTAGAAAAGTAGCTGTAGAAAAGCCTGAGTGTATAGGAAGAGACTGAAACCCAGGACCGAGACTTGCTCAATCCTGAACCTTACTCAGATGGCAAGCCAAATTCTAAGCGGGTCCAGAGGAGGATGGTTAATGTGAGGGTCCTTTATTGGAGAAGTAATCACACCCAAAAAAAGCTGCTTCCCTTTTACTAATCCCCATGTCTCACCGTTTTGCTTTTAAGCTGTTGTCTGATGTACTTTTATCCTCAAAAATTTTAAGAAGACTACCTCCCCCACCCCTCCACTTTTGAGAGTGAACTAAGGGAAAGTACTGTTGCCCTCCCACAAATACACCAGGCAGACTTTTGTCTGCTACCACAGCCCTGTGCCTGTCTCCAACACAAAGAACCACTTTAGAAAGCCTCAAAGAATCGTGCTTGGGTATAGAGGGCAAGGCCTTAGGCCAGCGGAACCTTAAAAGCCTGGCTGAGGCGGAACGGAGTCGGGACAGAAGACAGCAGGCTCCCCAGGCCGCGCCAGGTTTAACACTTCCGCCGCGCGGAGAACTTGCCTCCGCCCCCAGCTTCCACGTCCGCCCAGCTCTAGTTCTGCGCAGTCTCCTGGAATTGTTTGCCGTCTCTATGGCAACCTAGGACGGTGAAGATGGAGACCGTCAAGTCTACAGCGGGACCGCCGTCGCGGTGAGAGCCGCAGCTCTGGCTGCACGCGTAGGGGGCCAAGAAAGGTAGGCGCACTTGCTCTGCTGCGCTTTTGACAGCTTTCACGGGTTCGTTTTCTTTCAGATCTGTAGACCCACAGTCCAGCTCCGAAGGGCTAGGACCCACTTCGGAACCGTTTCCTTCTTCGGATGGCACTCCTAGGTCGCCCCTGGCAGCCTCAACCGCAGCAGCTACTGCAGCCACTGCAGCTGTCTCCACTGCCAACGCAGCTGCCTCATCTGCAAAGACCCCAGCACCCTACTCTGAGAGGAGCCTTCTCATGGCGCCCTCTTCGGATAGTCTTCTTGGGGAGCCCAGTGCTGGACCCAGCTTTACCCACAAAACAGGCCAGGAGAGACTTGGCTTTGAGCCTGCCTATGTTTCCTCTGGTACCCAAGATCCCTGTACTTCAAATTATCTCAGCTCTAGCCCTGGCCCTCTTCCTGGCTCCAGTTCTGGTCCTGCCTCTAGGCCTAGTCTAGGCTGTGGCCATGACCCTGAGCTCAGCCCCTACACTCATCCAAGCTTGACAAACCCCGGGGCGGATCTGGTCCCTCCCTGGAGTCACCACACCCAGTGGGAGCCTCAGAAACAACAACCCTGGAAATTTTTGCAAGTCTCAGAACCTGGTGCCCGAGGGCTATGGAAGCCCCCTGAGGTTGAAGGGAAGCATAAGGTTCTCGATGAAACATTGCCACGGGGCCAGTGCCTTCTCTACAACTGGGAAGAGGAGGTATTAAGGTTTTGACCTGCTCCCTTTTCTTGAAGGCTGTTCCCAGTTTCCTGGGGGAGGTTATGTTGAGGGTGGGTACCAGAAAGGATCTCATAGTCACTCAACTTGGGACCAACAGAGAGCCACCAACCACCTGGATCGAGTCCCAAGCATGCAGGATGGCTCTGAAAGTTTCTTCTTCCGACATGGACACCAGGGACTGCTGTCCCTGCAGCTACAGTCACCCATGCCCTGCAGCACCAGCCAGACAGACTCATACCAGCCCCCAGGAAACCGCCATCAGCCAATCCGAGGTGTGAAGCATGAGAGAATGGGCCAGAATGAGTCTTTTAGTCAGAGATAAAAGAGGAAGGAATTTTTCGTGGGACTGGATTATCCGAAGGGTATAAGGGCAAAACCCCAAGATTTGCCTTCCTTTTCTCAAATTTTTTTCTTTTGGGCCTGCTTCTTAACCAGACTCCCCAACTCTGTTCATTCCTTGCCCTCCCACAGGGAAGCGTGAAGCCATGCTGGAGATGCTCCTGCGGCACCAGATCTGTTGAGAGGCTGGGGGAAAGGGAAAGGGAGGGGAAGGACAAAAACCAGGGGAGAATGGCCCTGATGCCCCCCAGTTGTGTATAGTAAAGAGGTGCAGGCAGAGCAGGAACCCACAAGGGAGAACTTTGAGGTCGAGTCTGTGACACACCATGACTACCGAAAGGAGCTGGCGCAAGCAGGGCCTCCTGCCCCAACAAAGGTGAGAACCCATCCCACCCCACTTGTACAGCTGGGCTCTGACGGGCTGGGGAAAGTAGCAGACCCACAAATTGAGAGAGGGAGCTTCAGGCCAAGAGGTATTCAGTCTCTCTCCCTCACAGCCTCATGACTACTATCAGGAGCAGCCTGAAACCTTCTGGATACAGAGGGCACCACAGCTACCGGTGCGTGAGGGCGATGAGGTGTTGGGAGTGGGGGAAAGAAGGCAAGGAAGAGGCTCTTCTGTTCTGGCTTGGCACAGAGCGGAATCTGTCCTCATCGTGGCCCTTCTCCAGGGTGTCAGTAACATCAAGACACTGGACACGCCCTTCCGGAAGAACTGCAGCTTCTCGACACCAATAACTTCATCTCTGGGGCAGCCTCTGCCCTATGAACCTGGGAAGCATTCCCACCAAGTGGGGGAAATATCTTCCCTTGCCTGTCAGGGAGGAGGGCAGGGTGGTGGAGGGGGTAGAACTACTCCTGTCTAAGGGTTGAGGAGGGCAGTGGGGTGTGGACTATGGAATCTATTTCTGACTGGAGTGGAGAGGTGGGAAGGAAGTGGATTCTGTCTGTATTTGGTCGGGGCTTTACATAAAGGGCTCTCTCATCCTGAGACTGCTAATTCAGTCATTCTGTGAGTTAGTGTGTCCATAACCCATGACCTTTCCTTGGAGTTGCCCCTAACCCAGACTATGACACCATTACTTTTTTTGTTGTTTTATATTTGGCCAAAATATTCTGGTTTAGATACAGATATTTACATTAGGTAGGGAGAAAGGAGACCAGGACAGAGAGGGGCAGATATATGTACAAAGCTGAGCTGCAAAGGGCAAGAAATTCCATACAAGGTCGGGTTTTTGTGCACGTTGGTTTCCATCTCAGGTGACAATGTCCATTTGGGTGTGTGGAGAGATGGTGGCCACTGCCCACCCAGGTACCAGACTGTCTGACTTGGGAAGAAGTGGGGCTTACAGGAGCCCAGCAGGTCCTTTGCGCTCTCCCAGGAGCCAGTAAGTTCGCATCTTTCCCTTTCCCTGGGAGCAGAGCAGTGGAGATAATTCAGATTCTTCGGTTATTCCTTTTATCTCCCTCTCTTCCCCCACGATCCTCAGAATCACTTTCATCCTCCCTTTCCATGACCCCTCCCCATGACCTGCCATCACCTTCATCTCCACATCCCCCCGAAGCTCTAGCTGGAAGCATCCTAGCTCATCCAGGGCATCCTTGGTGGTAGAGGAGACATGGATCTTCAGGGCTGGGTTGTGGTGTGGGGGATGGTGGAAAAAAGAATCAAAGAAAAGGCAACAGAAGAACTGGCGGCAACAGAGAGCTCTACCCAACCACCAGCCCTCAGAAGTTCTCAATCTTCCCGGTGCACATGCACCAGAACCAAAATACAACCGAGGATGGGGCAGCCAGGAACCGTGATCTCTCAGACTGAGAGATTTGGAGGAATTCTGAAAGGCAGAAAAGGACAACAGAGGTTGAGGCTGAAGCTGGAGTCGAGGGTTAATGTCTCACCTTGACCATTAGATTCCATTCGAGAAGCAGTGTTCACTGTGTCACCGAAAAGACAATAGCGGGGCATCTTCAGGCCAACGACCCCAGCACAGACAGGCCCTATGAGAAGAAACAGGTTGAGAGAGCCTGGGAAAAGTGGATACTTGGGCTGGAGCGAGAGTCAGCCTTACCAGTGTGGACCCCTATACGTAGCCTCAGCTGGTCATGGGGTCGGTGGCGGATGCGGAAGGAAGAAACTGCATCCAATAATGCTAGGGCCATACGAGCAATTTCCGGGGCATGGCGTTGACCATTTCGTCCTGGGAGACCGGATACCACCATGTAGGCATCTCCAATCGTCTCTACCTGATTGAGAGGGGGATTAAAATGTCACCTCTGTCTTTATCAATGGGAATGGGAAAGAGTAGAAGGAGACAAACTGGACAGTCTGGGAGGCCAGAACATTGACTACAAAATAAGTGCCATGGTCCTGAGAATCTTGGGGAAAGGGGAAGTCAAGGAATCGTTAAATCCTCCTGCGCCACCCCAGCACCTGGGGAATGCTCAGTAAACATTTGCTGAGTGAATGGACAGCCTGTCTGCAACAGGACATGGACAAATAGGCTCTGCTGTCAAATAGAGGCAAGAAAATAGGGCTGACCTGGGGAGCCCAGAGAGGGTGAGGGGGCCAGGCTGGCCCAGTGAAGTGGGCCTCAGACAGCCTCAACTGTCAAAGGTGAGAAGGCAGGCGCCTGGCTTTATTAACTATACTGGAGTTGTGTAAGAGAATGTCCTTGTTTTTAGGAATGAGATACTGAACTTTTGAGGAACAAAGAGGCACAATATCTGAAACTCTCAAATGGTTCCGAAAATAATTATATAGATAGATTTTTTAAAAACTAAAGCAAAGGGGGGAAGTATAAACAATTGGTGAATCTGGGTTAAAGAGTTTATGGGAGTTCTTTGTTACAATAATAACAGAGATGGTAGAGTAAGCCCAAAGGGAAGAGACAGAAATAGATATTTATTATCTGCACAACGTTAGGCGCTTTCCACGATAAATCTATTATTTCCGTCTTACAGATAAAACATCTGCGGCTCAGGGAGCTTCTGTTACTTGCCCAAGGCCACACAGTCAGCCACAAAGCCAATATTCAAATCCAGATCATTTTTATTCCCAAGCACAATAAAGCCCACCCTGTGCTAACTCAATGACTTCAACAAAAAGCTTTTATAACACAGCTTGTCCCTCACCCCAATAAATCATTCTGTACCCACATCCTGTATGATTCTTCCATGTCTGGAGGGGATAGAAGAGAAAAAAAGATAGATAGGCTGTATGTATACCCCCAGGCAAATAGGGGCTAAATCTTGTGATGGTTCTAATTAGGAAAGCCAGAGGATTCACCAGAAATTAGACTGGAATGTAGAATTAGAGTGCCAGAGCCTCATTTGTCTACAGAGGGCACTCCAGCACTAGGATGCTGGAGACCCAAGAGGAAAATTGACCACGGAGCAGGTAAGGCATGTGGGGTTCAGGGAGACTGGGTTTTAAGGGGGTCTCAGTAGGAGGGTAGCCCCAGCTCTCACCTTGTAGACGTCAAAGTTGTCAATTATGGCATCAAAACAGGTATACAGGTCATTAAGAAGTGTCACCACCTAATGGGGATGGGAAAGTAGAGGCCCTGAGACTTGTGCCCAACTTTCTAAGAATTCTTAACCCACAGCCATAACAAGATATGGGAACTTCAGAACAAACTAATCTTCCCTACTATCAAGAATCCCTATGCCCCAGTGAAGCTTCCCAGGTCCCTATCCTCCCCCCGTACCTCTCACCCATAGCTCTCACCTGCATAGGGGTGCTCTCTGCTGACAAAGCAGTGAAGCCAACGATGTCACTGAAGTAGATGGTAACACTGTCAAAGGCCTCAGCCTGTACAGTCTCTCCCCGTTTTAACTGCTCTGCCACTGAACTAGGAGGCAATGGTGCAGTTTGAGCCAAAGTCAGAGAAAGAGGATGGAAGGGAGAGAGAGGAAAGGAGTGTATGGCTGGAGCAGAGATGAGTTCTAACATGAAAGCTAAGCCTGGTGGAGGAGAAGGAAGGTGGCTGGGAAGACTTTACAGTCTAGCGCAAGGTAAGGTGTACAAGTGGTAGGGGGTTGGAAGGGGATGCCTGGGGATGGGGGCTAAATGTCTCAAGTTGGGATTGTTCCACAAACACTTGCTGCAGCAAAGGCACGGTAGAGCAGTGTCCTAGAAGAAGGGATGGGAAGGCAACACTGCTCATTTGGAGACAGAATGAAAATACATAGTCTATAGCCAGAAAGACTCACTGTGGCAAGATGTAACAAAGCAAGGTTCTTCTAAGGGTTGGGAAGTGAGTTCTCAGGAGCTGGATGAGGCAGAACCCAACAAAGCAGAATACCAAAGGAAAATTCAAGAAGGGGGACAAGAGTCTCACTGGGGTAGAATTTGGTAGAGCAGAGCCTCAGCCTTGCGTTTCTCCTCCAGATAGGCCTGTGTGCGTTCCTCCACCAGCTTCTCCAGGTTATTGGCATACTGCTCCATGCGCAACAGGAGGTTGTCCAATATGCTGGTGCCACCCTCCCTGGGGGGAGGCCAGGATATGGTACCGGCTCCAAGATTCTCAAGACTCCAACGACTTCCTACAACCCACCCTCTTGGCCCCACCAGCCCCACCTCATCTAAGACTGATGAGGCTTCTATCCCTGGGGAGCCCCTGTCCCTTTGTGCCCTCTCACTTGTTAAAGCGGCGAATGAAGCCCTTAATCTGTCCAAAGTCTGGCCGCTCAGCTGGGTCCTGGGCCCAACATCGCTCCATCAGCAAAACTAGTTCTTCATTCAGTTGGGTCCGGTCAATGCTCGGCCGGAAATATGGCCGCTGACCATTTCGGACCTTCTGGACAATCTCTGAGGGTGATAAAGGGTTTGGATGAAGAACAGAGCCCCCAGGTAGAGAAGCCTGTGGGTAGTAGATTGACTCTCACCTTTGGGGCTGAGGTCCAAGCCCTCCAAGTAGAAAGGACCACTGCGAAGTGCTATCTCCTGTAAGATGATCCCAAAGCTATAGACATCAGCCTTCTGCATGCCCGTGGTTGGCAAGGGGTTCCCGCTGAGCAGTTCTGGGGCAGTCCACAGCTTCTCTGGAAAGAGAGAATAGGCTGGCCAGGTCCTCAAAAAGTATCCCCAAGCCCACCTGGGCTCATTCCCATAAAGCTCCCCATATTACTGTCCCTCCATCTCCCTCTCCCACCCTTCCTAGGTGGAAATGATCAGGAAGTGATCAGGGCCAAAGGAGCAATATAAAAGTGGGTCATGGAAGAAGGCCTCACTGGCATAGAGGGCGTGGCTGTCATCAGGTTCAGCAGTTGATCGGAAGCTGGCCAGGCCATAGTCTGTGATTTTGAGCACAAATCGACTATCCACCACACAGTTGGAGGACTTGAGACTCCCATGGGATGCAATAATGCTGTTATGGAGAAAGGCCATGCCCTGCAGGATACAGATCAAGTCATGGGATTGGATCATATCTGGCTTAGGATACCCCTTCTCCCTGAGATGGACATTACCTAGCTGTCTAAAGATCTTGGGACCATTAAAACACTAAGCCAATTTTGGAAGGCATTTTTTACACAGTTTCCACTCAAGGAAATAGGCAGAATAGGAGAGTCATCCCTTCCTGGTACCATAAGCAGTATATTGGCATGTAGGCACCAAGAATAGGAGAAATGCTTAAGAGGAGGGACAAGGGGAGCTATCAGTTATTACCCTGGAAAAAGCAGACAGTCTTCTGAGTAGTAAAGGGAACAGAACTATGAGGGAAAACCCCAAGAATGGTATGACACCCATGGTGGCCTCAAATCCATGGCCACTACTTATTAGACAGACACGGCTTGAGACTTAGGTATCAAGAGTACCCGGATGCACCAAGGAAGACTAGTTGTAAACTTTAACATACAACCCCCTGTAGGCATGCAAGTTAGGATGGAGGAGGAAAGCAATCTGCTAGAGGGGATGCGTGGCCAGACAGAAGGTGGAGAAAATAGTAAATTAGAAAAACCTGGAAAATGGACACAAGTAGGAGACAGCTGCCAAGCCAATGCA